ATCATTCTTGGCATTATTGCAGTGTGCAGTGCCAGTAGTGACGAGAATGGGCATGAAGTCGAACGCAGAAGTACACTGCCTAGACTTGCTGGCAGATATCTCGCTTGGAGACGTACAGGTGGCCCGCGAAGCGGTTGCAGGAGTTGGAAATACCTCGCAGGATGGAATATTTATGGCAGTGACTGGGGATGTTGTAGCAACTACGGTGGCTGTTGCAAATTTGCCGCTCTTGCTTGTTATCTGCATGACGCTGCATGTAGCCCTTGTTGTGGTGGTGGTCATTGGCTTTGCGGACCATATTGCAAGAAGGAAAGCTCATGCCGTGATCGCTGAGCCTGAATCAGCCAGTTCAAGTCAAGCAGCTTATAAAACGTTGATGAACTTAGTTTGTTTCCTTCCTTGTTGGAGCTAATTGAACACCATATAATTGTTTAATTGCGCAGGCAGTAGTTTGTTTTAAAATATACCGTAGTTGCATTTTGCTTGTGATTCCTTTTCATTAAATTGCTGCAAAAAGAATCTTCGACTTTGTTCAGTTTATTAATTGTCTAATTTAATGTCTTCTTAAAAAACCGTATACAACATTTATTTCCCGTATCGTCTTTCCATGACCATTTGTAACCCGCATCTTTTTCAACCACGAATAAATCAAATTCCTGGATAAACAAATGCTAAGTGGTTTGAGTTACAGCTGACATTCAAGTCAGCTAGGGGACATTCAAGTCAGCTAGGACTTCTAAGGCCTATCGTCACAAGAACTTTGAAAACCTCAGACGGTAAAGTTCTTTTCTTTATTTTCATACATGCATCGATTATTTGGGAGCTGAATCTTTGTTACGCCAAATCGCAAGAGTTTAGAATCGATAGGTACACACTACAAACTTGGGTTTCCAAAGATGGAGACATATAAGGCTTCACGGAGTTGAAAACATGTTAACTTTGTATCTTATTAGTATGTCTAACAAGGAGGAATCTCGTTTTAACCTGATCGGCATATTTGGTTACATTTTTCAGGAAAAGCCAATCAGAATGGCTACATTTTTAATACTTCGTGTAAAATGGTGAGTCAATGTACCTTTTCACCGGAAGTATATATAGTCGAAATTTATCCATTCTGATTGGGCTACTAAAAATGTAAACAAACTTGCTAAAACGAAATTCCCCTTGTTGGGTCGGTACATACCTAATTTTAGTGTGTAGTGAACCAATTTGTGCAGTGATAAAAGTAAAATGTGCAGTGATAAAATGAGGATATGCATTGAAAAAGGTATTTCTCAACAGACTTCACTCTGCTGAGACGGATTCGCCAGTAATGGGTCCCCCCAATGCTGGAAATCAAGTCCATAGCAATCAAAAACCACAGAAAGGTTTTTGAAAAAGGTCCTCCAGACCGCCAAAATTCCCATCTCTAAATTATCAATTTCCATTAAGGACCATTTTATCATGTCCCCTCCCACTACCATACTATTGGGATGATATGTGCAGTGATAAAAAATTCTTAAAATTAGCTATGGGTCGGTACGTACCTATATGAACAAGCTTTGCTATTGGTTGATGATAACCATAAACACAATGAACTATAGAAATTGATTTCTAAAAGAACGAATTATAAACACTTTCACTATTGTTACAAAAAGCTAATCACAAAACTCGTTCAAATGAGGTAGGTACCTAGAAAACATGCATGCTCTGCATACGAAATTGGGTAACGATCGGAGAGAACCGATCTTGTACAATCTCAAAAAGCTGGGGGCGCCTGAGTGATGACTTGGTAATACGAGGTTTGACATTATCAACTGCGGCGATTGTCGTAGTCAGAGATGACGGGATTTAAAGAACGTTCCCAAAGTGGCGCTTCCTCTTCAATCGTAGAGATTGGAATTTGGCGCACGCTAAACGGCATGCAGTGAACAAGCGAAACTGAACAAGCGAACTGAATAAGCGAACCTATCAGATACTCCTATATCACTGACAAGTGAAAACTATCCTGTGTTTAGAAAAGAACATCTAAGACTAATTCCAGCCATATTGCATTTTCCAACTTGTTGCAAAGAGATTGCATGGATGATTGACATTGACTATAATGTACGATGAAATTACACACCGGCCTCTAGTGAATAGTTATTTTTTACGTGTCTTCGACCTGCTTTTATTGTCTCTGTATTTTTCCAGCGTTTGATTTCACACTTTTGATAGAGCAGATAAACTACAGATAAAATGTATATGAAATTAATGGCAATACTCACCATCAAAGGGCGCCTACAAAGAAGACTTCTTAAACATAGATTGGGCAAACACACAACTTACCTAGGATCGACTGTGGCCTTTTTCCCTGAAACAAGAGGCATAAAAAGAGATCAGTTATCGCTCTTCATCGTTGTACATATGTCTAACTGTAATTCGGTTCATAATACGATTCGTAAGGCTTTATAATTTATTATATAGTTCATGCATGCACTCATTGGTTTTTGCCACAGGGTATCAAAATAAACAGCCCGGTAGATTTTAGTTCTGAAATATTCTTTAGAATTTAGAACAATTGAAATAGCGTTTTTCACGTATACTTGAAATTTAAAATTGTACTGCAGCAATTTATTTTGAATAACCCTGGATCTTCTACTGTCATTTTTGTGGCAACATAATAAGGTTTTTCAAAACAAATTAAATTTTGGCAAAAAAATTGAATAATTTCTTCGTACATAGGTGAAAATCCTGATTGCATGCATGTCTTCAAATCAATACGTATTTTTGAAATGGCATCTCCTAAAAAAGTCTCTAAAATTTAGTGAAACTTTAAACAGAAATTAATTCATACCGCATTCAGGGTGGAATATTAATTTAAAATGCTACCTTTGCATGTGTGTTCATACGTTCGCATACGCCAGGGTAAGAATCGTATATACGACAAATTGTATAGTGTGAATGGGCCTTCGAAAATACACAGGCTAAAGAATAAGCCATTCTTCTGCACAGATTTTCGACTAATTTAACTCATCTCTTGCTTTTCACTATTTCCATTCATATCAGCAGAGCTCACTCAATATTTTTGACACGCAGCAAAGCATCACCATGACCACAAAACTTTACAGTCTGTATTCGCCTGTGAGTGATGTCACTCAACAAACAAGCAGTTTGCGAAACTCATGCCCCGCAATGATTCTTGTGCATTTAGCCGCATTTGTGAGATCGGAATCACGTTAATTCTAGAAAAATCTACCCAGGGTTGTACCTTTGCTCTCCTAGGTGGGGGGGGGAGAGAGGGCCAAACTAAATTTTCTGTAAGATATAAAAAGTCCGAAATTTCCACGACAAGAACCGCAAACAGGTAACCCTTGCTCCAAAAGCGCCAAATTTAAAATCAACATACCTCTGAGAGCAAATTGTAGACCTTCTTTCTCCGAAAGACTGGTGGCCACGTGCGTGGCTTGTGCTATGTACTCGAGATCGTTCAGGAAATACTTTCCAAGAAAATCTTGTTTCAGAGGCGACAATTTTGTGGATTGGTTATTACTAAGAAAATGCGGAACTTAAGATATAGCACGTGAAAGTACAAGAGTCAGTTAATGAGTCTTTACTTTATGTAGTCTAGTGTATATGAGCATTTTGAAGTTGAATGATTATGATTTTCTGTGTTGTCGAACTCGGTGTTTTTTTTAAAAGCTTGAACATATTTCAATCATCGTACCCTCTTGGAGATCCGGCAGGCGAAAGGCTGGAGGAAGACTTGGATTTCTCTGTGCACCATTTGTCTAAGGTCAGCTCTATCGCGACAAGAGCAAGCTGTAAAGAATCGAAAAATCAGGAATGGAAAAAAATAGCCGAACAACAAACAATTTTGAACAACAAGATAGCATTTACCTTCGCATTTGACATTATCTCTGATTTCGTACTTTCTTGTCTATAAATATATCAAATTACAGATAAACCCTTTTCAAACAAGGTAGAAAACTTACATATATTCTCAATTTCGTTTTGAGGTTCTCAAATTCAAGGCGAAGTTCCCAATTAAAATTTTTCCGCAATAAAAACCAGGTTTTGTATTAAACAAAATAAGGCTACCCGTATCCGAAAACCAGGATGCCTTAACGACCATGCAGTAATATCAACAACAATCCTTCCCGAAGGCCAATGAAACACGCGATAATTGGGGGGGGGTATTCATATATTCAGTATTGCTCGACAGATTTCTTTTGAGTGTAATAGCTTACAATAAAAAGCCACTGAATACATGGTCCTAGTGCCTAACGAAAGCCCGCAAACCCGACCAGACGTATTATCGTTAGATAGATTGCATTCGTTAGACATACTTGAAGTACTTACGAAAACAGAGCTGGAAATGACAGGTGAGGTCTCACTCGGCTGTAAATTTTTAGAAATGCCTCAACCAGCGATGTTGGCCTAACAACAATTAACGCAAAGACATTGTTATTCGGGAGTAAAATTAAGAAGCGTGGAAAGCAAAGCTTTGGGTTCTTCTTCTGAGAACTGTTGAAGAACTGATCTCAAAGATTGAATTCGTGCATTTTAAGATTTACTGAACATGGAATTATTACCGATTGTAAAATTTCAAAAGCTGATAATGATTTAAAGTTCCCGCATGTGGGTATGGAAAACGAGGTGAAATTAAAAAGATACCTTACTCACAAAGCTTACCATTTAAACTGACAGTTTTCGCTGAGATGCAGGGCGTAATCACAGAGAAGGTCGAGTGTTCCGCTAAAATATACAAGATTGAATGAAGTCACATGAAAAAACGAGGAACTTTTCCTCTACTTTGAGGCTGTTGCATGAGAGCAAACCGCCAAACGTACCTTTTTTCCATGTGCTTTCTTACAAAGGTTTGTAAGAAAGCACATGGAAACTTTGTAACATCGAGCGGTTCGTTTTCGCTGGAAATATCAGCGACAGTATTCACATCTATATAACCCAGGATACCACTCAACATCTTAGAGATCTCACGCCAAAATTGCCATAAAAAACTAATTCTGGTGATAACTAACCTAGTTCAGAACCCACTTCTGGTGTATCCATTTCCTGGCTTTGCGGTTCATCGCTTCCTTCAATGAGATTCCCGCTTCTGCAAAGTTTTACGATAACTCGAATGACTGGCAGGCAGATTCATGAACAAATCAACAATACCATATCAAAATTTCTCCAATATACTCCACACTAATACAAGAATATAGAGATCAGAAAGATCCAGGACGAAGAAATGGTTTTCAACTTTACCTCAATATTTCGGGAAGAAAGTCTTGTAAAATTTCGAGGTAGTTGACTTCCTCTTGTTTTTTCTTGCTCTTGTTTACCTGCAGAAACATGGTAAAAAACAAAAACTTTACTATGAATACTTTTCCAACCCTCACGTCTGGGATGTCTCTTCCCAGAAGGCACAACCAAGACAGCCCGTTGTGGAAAACTACCCTACACTGGACCAACACGTTTGGATAAGGTAGTTCAGGTAGTTTATTGGAGAGATTCCTAAGTTTTAGATGTCTTTAGTGTCGAACACTTCCTCCTTAATCAACACTTTGTTAATCACATCTTTCTCAGATACAAACCACGACCGCCTATTGTAGGGAACAACCTCGTACCCAGGGTCTTTACCCTGGGTACGAGGTTGTGTAAGGTACTACCTTCGCTTGACTACCAAGATATCTTTTTCGATTAGTTAGCCCAGGCACAAATCTCGACAGTTTATAAGTATATTGCTTTGTCATATATATTTGAGATAAGTCCCGTACCCTAGCAGAACGTCGTTTTGGTGCGTTGAATGGATCACTTTCCTCAGCTAAAAATTTCTTTCTTTTCAAACTGTTTACAGTTCTCTTGTCCTCGTTGTCTAAACATACAAGAACATTTCAGTTTCGAAACCAGAGCGAAAAAGTAAAACTTTTTGGCAATGAAATAAATAACATTTCAAAACTGTTTTCACCATTTTACCTTTCGTAAAATGTTTTTGAGAAGATGAATTATTTCGAATAATCTCTAAAACACAAGGAATAAAGCATTTAAGGAAGAATTCCTACGGACAACAAGCAGCTTACGACTTTACGATGCAGGGAGAATGTTGTGAATCACCTGGTGTAATAATAATCTTGCAATAACTTTCCAAGTTTACTTTTTGGCACAAGTTCTATACAAAGATAGCAAGGCTGTTTTTAGTTAAGCAGTTGGCCCACTGAACAATCACATTTAATACGAGTTTAATGGAATCGAATAATGATTATGTTAGTCGTGCACTTACATATGAATTATCGTCTGAGGTAACTTGGTCGTACAATGAAACAAGACAATTGCCTAAGGAGCTCCACCTGAGAATGAAAAACAGATTTAAAACGTTTGGAAGAAAACGAGTTTAGCCTAGTTTCAACTTCAGGAATATGAGAAGGTCGTGTCTCTGGTAAAGGCCGTGTCTCCGGTAAAGGTCGTGCCTCCGGTAAAGGACGTGTCTCCGGTATAAAGGTCTTACAATTAAGTGGCTGGGATAAAATGTCGGCACAAGACCAGGTGCTCTCCTTTTCTTCAGGGACATCTCTCAGGATTTTTTTTCAGTCTTAGATAATCGACCGCATGGCTTGAAGTTGGAATGTAGGAAACAATATTGACCTAAAACTCTTACGTGTAAAGAGCTAGATGTTTCGCAGGAATAATTGCCGGTGGCTCAGGAAATACGTTTCTTTGACGATTCCTCTCACGTAGTTCCATCGCTTCGTTGATGAGCTGCAAGATTTTGCATAATATAAGTATTATTACCACGAAGCAATGGCCTTTTACCCGGGCATTTTGAAGGCGGAGAAACATCACCGTGGACTCAACTGTAGCGATAGCTTAGTGCCAGTTGGCCGGCAGTGTAGCAAAATTTTTGAACTAAAATTTCTTTTAAGTTTTGAACTAAAATTAATGACCACAAAAGTCGTTCTGTATGTACAAGTTACTGAAAATTTTTATTCGATACACTGAGAAATCAAGACTACAGCAGAAAAATGGATATTTAAAAATGCAAAAACAACCGTCATCCTACCAAAAATTCAAGTGATCTGAAATAGCGGGAAAGGACTCGGATTAGCACAGTCAAACTGAAGGGACTGTCAAATAAAAGTCCATTTCATGGTTGAAACAACCATTAATACCTCTTGAAATATACTATATTTCTGTTTCAAATTTATGCGAGAGCTATAGTTCTTATAACTAAACATAATCACAAAATTTCGACAAGTTTCGTGAATAATAACAAAAGATACTCGATTGAGTACTACAAAATGGATTTTTATTCGGATAAACTTTCTGGGTAACGCTCCAGTTGTATCAGAGCCCAGAGTATATAAACCGCGGGAAAATATTCGCGCCAAGACGCTTGCACTGAAATTCCACTGTGAAATTCTGAAAATATTCAATTTAGGCGCCGTCGAAGATGGAGCAAGTTATCCTTGCTAAAACTCCTATATTTCTTTTATCTTCTCATGCACAGGGAAATATTTCACGTTTTCCAAGCCGGGAGATTTGTTTAAAAAGGCCATTCAAGCTTATTAACAACGAGGAACGAAGAAAACTTGTTAAAAACAGGTAAATGCGTTTATACAATGAAAAATAATACTGTCTACAGGGTTTTGAAATGGATTTAAATATAATATTAAACTCTGTAAAAACGTTAGAAAATACGTTTCATCGATAGAGAGTTCTTTCTCAAACCTGATACGCCAGTTCTTGCTCGTATTTTCCATGTTTTGCACACGACATTCCTCTAAATTTAAGATTCGAAAAATCATTGAAACATTGACAGTTGTTTATTTCTGACTTTCTGTAATCTGTATTGAACATTATCCATATTTTGCACACGCAAATATTAAAATATACCTCAGATGCTGGTAGTCATTTCTAAAACTTGAAAACTCTGAATAGATTTTATCCCTGATAATCAGACCTTGAGGAAAGAGAAGGTTGCATAATTTTATCTGACTAAATAAGCTATCTAGATAAATAAAAGCTTTTAAAAATTGCAAATTGTACAAACTAAATGTAGTTCATTAATGATAAAATATTGAAGTTTTAATCTCAATCATATTAAAAATGATTCAACCTTCGTAAATACCATACCTTTGGGATAAGAGGTATCTCTTTCAAATGCACTTGATACAATCATTAAACATGCTAAAAGAATGATAACGAAAGTCTATGTGTAAAGAAAAAAAATATAAATTCTTGACGATTCTTTAACAGCTAGTAATTTAAAGAACCTAATTCTGCTTCTGAAGTATGTTAATGTTCAGTTGAAAACTTATAATGCAGGCTTACAGTGATAATCCCCAATTGCGTAAAGAACCGTCACCAGCTCATCTAAACATGGCCAATGTTTGGAGTTGATATTCAATCCCTGAAGGGTAAAGTTAGATTTTAAAGAGCTATGGCTAATTTGTACAACTTAGGAAAGTGAATGAAACAGGAGCAGGGCATAAGTCAAGTTTATGTGTGGCTGAACTTTATAGTCCAAAAACTAATCTTCAAACCAACCTGTTCAAATGAATATCTTGCCAATCTGAGATTCCCCAGTTTCACAGCAAGCTTGCCAATTTTATACCATAATGTGACATCTGAGTCATCAAGTGCTGCCGCCTGAAATGGTTGACCAAAAGATTTAATCGGTTGAAATGCATCAACAGTTAACATACATGTAAGCATCGATCTGTGGTCATGATGATCCCACTCCCCTGGTGAATTGCAAACACATACATATGGCTAGAAAGTGTGATCATCTTGCAATAATTTGCACCCATCTATGGCCCACATGATGTCAACAATTGTAGACTCTAAACCAATGGCTGACAATTTTGCTGAAAACGTAAATCCTGCAAACACAATACCTCAAGGTATAAATCAACAGCTTTGTCATCATCAGAGTCATTTTCTGCAAGACTCGCTAAATTTTTATACGCTGAATATTTGAACACCAGTCCTGGATGACTTGGCTGGTCGTCATCTTTGGTGGAGTCATCAACCTTGAATAACAACAAGTTACATTTGATTCTTATGCACTTGGTATGCTGAATGCCAACATTTATTCAATTATATCAACCTGAATGTCAGCATTTATTCAGCAACTGTTGCAACATTTACTTACCTCGGCCACAAAGGATGCATTTAACAATTTTTGATAAAACTCTCTTGCCCTATCACTGTTACCAAGCTGCTGGTGTTGCAATGCTTGGTTGTATATTTCCAGTGCCTCCGATTCCTATATTAGTCAGAGCAGATAATTTTTTTTGTATTATGCTAAAAAGCAGACATGAAAATTTGGCAAAATCATCTGGCATTAAACAGATGAAAACTAAAATGGGTGCATTTTGACTACTCATCACTGGGCTGACAAGCAAAAGACAGTCTGCCAGATAGTACCAGTTGTTACCATTTTGGTGAAAAAGAGGAAATGATCTGTGTTAGATGAAGTACAGTAACATACAAAAGTATAGACTCACCCTGGCTTCCTTAACTCGCTCTTCTGTGGGTTCAGACAAGCTGTCATCACTACAATCTTCATTCAAGGCTGCTAACTTCATCTATATTTTTCAAATACACAGATACTGAAATACGCATCTATACCCATAAGTATTTTCCTATGACGTGCTTCTGCATCATAATTTACACTCGTAAATACACATATTTCATCATACGAAACTAACGAAAGAAGTATAGAGGACTACAAAATAATGTATATGAGTTATCAAATTATTGCTTGCCCTTATTTAGACAGCTTCAGCACTTTAGCCTTCGTACAAAAGCCATTTTTGTGAAAATTGTTATTCTATCACTTCTCCTCATTTTTCTATATAGTATACTTTGTATTTTGTATTTTGTACTCGACTTCGCAAGGACTTGTTTCAAGATCTTTCACTGCTTTCACAAGTGTTGTGTTGCTCCACGAATCTCGTTCTCTTCATTCTTCAATCTCTTGGCGAGGCAATCGCGGGCTCGGAAAGCGAGATTTTTTTTTCCGTCGAAAAATTGCATGAGAACCAGTGATGAGATCACGCATGAGACCAGTGGATGAGACAAACGCTTCTCGCTATATACAATAACAACGCCGAAAAATCGCTATTTTTTGCGTTTTTCTGCCCCATCTTGACTTAAAAACTAGCTATCAGGAAAGACAACGAAAGTATTTATAGTTATATATAACGGCTAAAAGACGACAGGGTAAAAACTACCCAAGAAAATAACCAAATTCGAAAGTCGAGTTATATTTCCGGTTGTCATCACATGAATGGAATTTTCTAACAAAAGCGTTTAGCTTGTTTATAGTATTGTCCTGACCTGAAGCTGTATTTTGGTGGTATTTTTGTGTTTTTTGCCCGCGAATTTGCGGACTTTAGTATTGGCATTAAGTTCTAGTCTAGACAACTCTGTCTCTGTATGAGTTCGTGTACGACTTGACGCCGTTCGTTCTATCACGGTTCTATCCTTCCTCTTACAGCAGGTACATCACGTAAGTATTTAATACTGCAAAGCTTTCGGATTGCTTTATTTATTACTCAAATTTAATACTCAAATTGCTTTCGCAATTGCACTGATGAAAGCCCAGGTTAACGGACCGAAAGCTTTGCAGTATTTCATACTTACGTTGTGTACCTACAAGATAATTTTATTATCGATGTCACCATGCAAACAGGCAAGAATAATAGGCATAGTTTAACTTATTGGCAGTAATTTATACTTCTAAAAGGTGATATAGTGGGTAAGGTCGTTATAGGCGCAGAAATTTCAAAACATTATTTACTCGCTTAATTTTGCTTCTAGCCTTTTATATAAATTCTGTTTTGTTTCTAAAAATTATGATGCAATGTAATTAATATTGTATATTGACCCCTATTTATATATCCGCTTCAGCAACTGATTATGGTCTATATGTAATCCGATCCAAATAATCTCACCGACAATCAGCCATGGCTATTGTCAGTGATCACTGACGAATAAAGTGCTGCACAACGTGTGGTAAAACCCAGAATTTGATTTCGTGTTGACCTTCATTTTGTACTAAAAGCAGTGCCAGTGAGCAAAGTACAGCAACACCGCGGACGTTTAATTTGCTTCTATAAATTTTGTTTTGTTTCTAAAAGTAAAACTTATAATGCAATATACGAAAGAGATGATTGACCTCTGACTGTGTTTAACATCCGCTTCAGCACCGTTAAACTTCCTAAGACAGTATTGATGTTACATCGAACACTTTTTTCACCAGAACATCGTGTTTACTTCGATATTTACTTTGAGACGTAGTATGGCAACAAACATGTTTTCTTCATTACAGATTGCCATCGTTCGAGGAGTTTCAAGCGATGCTCTTTGTTTTTTGCTGAAGAGCCCTAGGATATTCACGTGACCTGTCTGGACTATTATAAATTGAAGAGGGAATCTCAATACAGAGTAATTCCCGTTTGCCAAGGCGAGAGACCATTAAGCCTTAGAGTAAGAGAGCAAGACTAAAAAGTGCATTGAAACTACATACAGTTGCAAGGTTTGTGATGTCTCGACTATACTATATTTTGTTTGTACAAAATAATACATTGGTCTTGTTCCTTATATTTTACAGACAACACGAAATGGAGGCACTGCGAGTATTGATCATTCTTGGCATTATTGCAGTGTGCAGTGCCAGTAGTGACGAGAATGGGCATGAAGTCGAACGCAGAAGTACACTGCCTAGACTTGCTGGCAGATATCTCGCTTGGAGACGTACAGGTGGCCCGCGAAGCGGTTGCAGGAGTTGGAAATACCTCGCAGGATGGAATATTTATGGCAGTGACTGGGGATGTTGTAGCAACTACGGTGGCTGTTGCAAATTTGCCGCTCTTGCTTGTTATCTGCATGACGCTGCATGTAGCCCTTGTTGTGGTGGTGGTCATTGGCTTTGCGGACCATATTGCAAGAAGGAAAGCTCATGCCGTGATCGCTGAGCCTGAATCAGCCAGTTCAAGTCAAGCAGCTTATAAAACGTTGATGAACTTAGTTTGTTTCCTTCCTTGTTGGAGCTAATTGAACACCATATAATTGTTTAATTGCGCAGGCAGTAGTTTGTTTTAAAATATACCGTAGTTGCATTTTGCTTGTGATTCCTTTTCATTAAATTGCTGCAAAAAGAATCTTCGACTTTGTTCAGTTTATTAATTGTCTAATTTAATGTCTTCTTAAAAAACCGTATACAACATTTATTTCCCGTATCGTCTTTCCATGACCATTTGTAACCCGCATCTTTTTCAACCACGAATAAATCAAATTCCTGGATAAACAAATGCTAAGTGGTTTGAGTTACAGCTGACATTCAAGTCAGCTAGGGGACATTCAAGTCAGCTAGGACTTCTAAGGCCTATCGTCACAAGAACTTTGAAAACCTCAGACGGTAAAGTTCTTTTCTTTATTTTCATACATGCATCGATTATTTGGGAGCTGAATCTTTGTTACGCCAAATCGCAAGAGTTTAGAATCGATAGGTACACACTACAAACTTGGTTTCCAAAGATGGAGACATATAGGACTTCACGGAGTTGAAAACATGTTAACTTTGTATCTTATTAGTATGTCTAACAAGGAGGAATCTCGTTTTAACCTGATCGGCATATTTGGTTACATTTTTCAGGAAAAGCCAATCAGAATGGCTACATTTTTAATACTTCGTGTAAAATGGTGAGTAATGTACCTTTTCACCGGAAGTGTATATAGGCATAGTTTAACTTATTGGCAGTAATTTATACTTCTAAAAGGTGATATAGTGGGTAAGGTCGTTATAGGCGCAGAAATTTCAAAACATTATTTACTCGCTTAATTTTGCTTCTAGCCTTTTATATAAATTCTGTTTTGTTTCTAAAATTATGATGCAATGTAATTAATATTGTATATTGACCCCTATTTATATATCCGCTTCAGCAACTGATTATGGTCTATATGTAATCCGATCCAAATAATCTCACCGACAATCAGCCATGGCTATTGTCAGTGATCACTGACGAATAAAGTGCTGCACAACGTGTGGTAAAACCCAGAATTTGATTTCGTGTTGACCTTTATTTTGTACTAAAAGCAGTGCCAGTGAGCAAAGTACAGCAACACCGCGGACGTTTAATTTGCTTCTATAAATTTTGTTTTGTTTCTAAAAGTAAAACTTATAATGCAATATACGAAAGAGATGATTGACCTCTGACTGTGTTTAACATCCGCTTCAGCACCGTTAAACTTCCTAAGACAGTATTGATGTTACATCGAACACTTTTTTCACCAGAACATCGTGTTTACTTCGATATTTACTTTGAGACGTAGTATGGCAACAAACATGTTTTCTTCATTACAGATTGCCATCGTTCGAGGAGTTTCAAGCGATGCTCTTTGTTTTTTGCTGAAGAGCCCTAGGATATTCACGTGACCTGTCTGGACTATTATAAATTGAAGAGGGAATCTCAATACAGAGTAATTCCCGTTTGCCAAGGCGAGAGACCATTAAGCCTTAGAGTAAGAGAGCAAGACTAAAAAGTGCATTGAAACTACATACAGTTGCAAGGTTTGTGATGTCTCGACTATACATAATATTTTGTTTGTACAAAATAATACATTGGTCTTGTTCCTTATATTTTACAGACAACACGAAATGGAGGCACTGCGAGTATTGATCATTCTTGGCATTATTGCAGTGTGCAGTGCCAGTAGTGACGAGAATGGGCATGAAGTCGAACGCAGAAGTACACTGCCTAGACTTGCTGGCAGATATCTCGCTTGGAGACGTACAGGTGGCCCGCGAAGCGGTTGCAGGAGTTGGAAATACCTCGCAGGATGGAATATTTATGGCAGTGACTGGGGATGTTGTAGCAACTACGGTGGCTGTTGCAAATTTGCCGCTCTTGCTTGTTATCTGCATGACGCTGCATGTAGCCCTTGTTGTGGTGGTGGTCATTGGCTTTGCGGACCATATTGCAAGAAGGAAAGCTCATGCCGTGATCGCTGAGCCTGAATCAGCCAGTTCAAGTCAAGCAGCTTATAAAACGTTGATGAACTTAGTTTGTTTCCTTCCTTGTTGGAGCTAATTGAACACCATATAATTGTTTAATTGCGCAGGCAGTAGTTTGTTTTAAAATATACCGTAGTTGCATTTTGCTTGTGATTCCTTTTCATTAAATTGCTGCAAAAAGAATCTTCGACTTTGTTCAGTTTATTAATTGTCTAATTTAATGTCTTCTTAAAAAACCGTATACAACATTTATTTCCCGTATCGTCTTTCCATGACCATTTGTAACCCGCATCTTTTTCAACCACGAATAAATCAAATTCCTGGATAAACAAATGCTAAGTGGTTTGAGTTACAGCTGACATTCAAGTCAGCTAGGGGACATTCAAGTCAGCTAGGACTTCTAAGGCCTATCGTCACAAGAACTTTGAAAACCTCAGACGGTAAAGTTCTTTTCTTTATTTTCATACATGCATCGATTATTTGGGAGCTGAATCTTTGTTACGCCAAATCGCAAGAGTTTAGAATCGATAGGTACACACTACAAACTTGGTTTTCCAAAGATGGAGACATATAGGACTTCACGGAGTTGAAAACATGTTAACTTTGTATCTTATTAGTATGTCTAACAAGGAGGAATCTCGTTTTAACCTGATCGGCATATTTGGTTACATTTTTCAGGCAAAGCCAATCAGAATGGCTACATTTTTAATACTTCGTGTAAAATGGTGAGTAATGTACCTTTTCACCGGAAGTGTATATAGGCATAGTTTAACTTATTGGCAGTAATTTATACTTCTAAAAGGTGATATAGTGGGTAAGGTCGTTATAGGCGCAGAAATTTCAAAACATTATTTACTCGCTTAATTTTGCTTCTAGCCTTTTATATAAATTCTGTTTTGTTTCTAAAAATTATGATGCAATGTAATTAATATTGTATATTGACCCCTATTTATATATCCGCTTCAGCAACTGATTATGGTCTATATGTAATCCGATCCAAATAATCTCACCGACAATCAGCCATGGCTATTGTCAGTGATCACTGACGAATAAAGTGCTGCACAACGTGTGGTAAAACCCAGAATTTGATTTCGTGTTGACCTTCATTTTGTACTAAAAGCAGTGCCAGTGAGCAAAGTACAGCAACACCGCGGACGTTTAATTTGCTTCTATAAATTTTGTTTTGTTTCTAAAAGTAAAACTTATAATGCAATATACGAAAGAGATGATTGACCTCTGACTGTGTTTAACATCCGCTTCAGCACCGTTAAACTTCCTAAGACAGTATTGATGTTACATCGAACACTTTTTTCACCAGAACATCGTGTTTACTTCGATATTTACTTTGAGACGTAGTATGGCAACAAACATGTTTTCTTCATTACAGATTGCCATCGTTCGAGGAGTTTCAAGCGATGCTCTTTGTTTTTTGCTGAAGAGCCCTAGGATATTCACGTGACCTGTCTGGACTATTATAAATTGAAGAGGGAATCTCAATACAGAGTAATTCCCGTTTGCCAAGGCGAGAGACCATTAAGCCTTAGAGTAAGAGAGCAAGACTAAAAAGTGCATTGAAACTACATACAGTTGCAAGGTTTGTGATGTCTCGACTATACATAATATTTTGTTTGTAAATAATACATTGGTCTTGTTCCTTATATTTTACAGACAACACGAAATGGAGGCACTGCGAGTATTGATCATTCTTGGCATTATTGCAGTGTGCAGTGCCAGTAGTGACGAGAATGGGCATGAAGTCGAACGCAGAAGTACACTGCCTAGACTTGCTGGCAGATATCTCGCTTGGAGACGTACAGGTGGCCCGCGAAGCGGTTGCAGGAGTTGGAAATACCTCGCAGGATGGAATATTTATGGCAGTGACTGGGGATGTTGTAGCAACTACGGTGGCTGTTGCAAATTTGCCGCTCTTGCTTGTTATCTGCATGACGCTGCATGTAGCCCTTGTTGTGGTGGTGGTCATTGGCTTTGCGGACCATATTGCAAGAAGGAAAGCTCATGCCGTGATCGCTGAGCCTGAATCAGCCAGTTCAAGTCAAGCAGCTTATAAAACGTTGATGAACTTAGTTTGTTTCCTTCCTTGTTGGAGCTAATTGAACACCATATAATTGTTTAATTGCGCAGGCAGTAGTTTGTTTTAAAATATACCGTAGTTGCATTTTGCTTGTGATTCCTTTTCATTAAATTGCTGCAAAAAGAATCTTCGACTTTGTTCAGTTTATTAATTGTCTAATTTAATGTCTTCTTAAAAAACCGTATACAACATTTATTTCCCGTATCGTCTTTCCATGACCATTTGTAACCCGCATCTTTTTCAACCACGAATAAATCAAATTCCTGGATAAACAAATGCTAAGTGGTTTGAGTTACAGCTGACATTCAAGTCAGCTAGGGGACATTCAAGTCAGCTAGGACTTCTAAGGCCTATCGTCACAAGAACTTTGAAAACCTCAGACGGTAAAGTTCTTTTCTTTATTTTCATACATGCATCGATTATTTGGGAGCTGAATCTTTGTTACGCCAAATCGCAAGAGTTTAGAATCGATAGGTACACACTACAAACTTGGGTTTCCAAAGATGGAGACATATAAGGCTTCACGGAGTTGAAAACATGTTAACTTTGTATCTTATTAGTATGTCTAACAAGGAGGAATCTCGTTTTAACCTGATCGGCATATTTGGTTACATTTTTCAGGAAAAGCCAATCAGAATGGCTACATTTTTAATACTTCGTGTAAAATGGTGAGTCAATGTACCTTTTCACCGGAAGTATATATAGTCGAAATTTATCCATTCTGATTGGGCTACTAAAAATGTAAACAAACTTGCTAAAACGAAATTCCCCTTGTTGGGTCGGTACATACCTAATTTTAGTGTGTAGTGATAACCAATTTGTGCAGTGATAAAAGTAAAATGTGCAGTGATAAAATGAGGAATATGCATTGATAAAAGGTATTTTCTCAACAGACTTCACTCTGCTGAGACGGATTCGCCAGTAATTGTCCCCCCAAATGCTGGAAATCAAGTCATAGCAACTCAAAAACACAGAAGAGTTTTTGAAAAAGGTCCTCCAGACCGCCTAAAATTCCCATCTCTAAATTATCAATTTCCATTAAGGACCATTTTTATCATGTCCCCTCCCACTACCATACTATTGGGATGATATGTGCAGTGATAAAAAATTCTTAAAATTAGCTATGGGTCGGTACGTACCTATATGAACAAGCTTTGCTATTGGTTGATGATAACCATAAACACAATGAACTATAGAAATTGATTTCTAAAAGAACGAATTATAAACACTTTCACTATTGTTACAAAAAGCTAATCACAAAACTCGTTCAAATGAGGTAGGTACCTAGAAAACATGCATGCTCTGCATACGAAATTGGGGTAACGATCGGGAGAGAACCGATCTTGTACAATCTCAAAAAGCTGGGGCGCCTGAGTGATGACTTGGTAATACGAGGTTTGACATTATCAACTGCGGCGATTGTCGTAGTCAGAGATGACGGGATTTAAAAGAACGTTCCCAAAGTGGCGCTTCCTCTTCAATCGTAAGAGATTGGAATTTGGCGCACGCTAAACGGCATGCAGTGAACAAGCGAACTGAACAAGCGAACTGAATAAGCGAACCTATCAGATATATCCTATATCACTGACAGGTGAAACTATCCTGTGTTTAGAAAAGAACATCTAAGACTAATTCCAGCCATATTGCATTTTCCAACTTGTTGCAAAGAGATTGCATGGATGATTGACATTGACTATAATGTACGATGAAATTACACACCGGCCTCTAGTGAATAGTTATTTTTTACGTGTCTTCGACCTGCTTTTATTGTCTCTGTATTTTCCAGCGTTTGATTTCACACTTTTGATAAGAGCAGATAAACTACAGATAAAATGTATATGAAAATTAATGGCAATACTCACCATCAAAGGGCGCCTACAAAGAAGACTTCTTAAACATAGATTGGGCAAACACACAACTTACCTAGGATCGACTGTGGCCTTTTTCCCTGAAACAAGAGGCATAAAAAGAGATCAGTTATCGCTCTTCATCGTTGTACATATGTCTAACTGTAATTCGGTTCATAATACGATTCGTAAGGCTTTATAATTTATTATATAGTTCATGCATGCACTCATTGGTTTTTGCCACAGGGTATCAAAATAAACAGCCCGGTAGATTTTAGTTCTGAAATATTCTTTAGAATTTAGAACAATTGAAATAGCGTTTTTCACGTATACTTGAAATTTAAAATTGTACTGCAGCAATTTATTTTGAATAACCCTGGATCTTCTACTGTCATTTTTGTGGCAACATAATAAGGTTTTTCAAAACAAATTAAATTTTGGCAAAAAAATTGAATAATTTCTTCGTACATAGGTGAAAATCCTGATTGCATGCATGTCTTCAAATCAATACGTATTTTTGAAATGGCATCTCCTAAAAAAGTCTCTAAAATTTAGTGAAACTTTAAACAGAAATTAATAAAAGGAAACCGAATAGAGTTTAAATCTCTTTATAAGACAACAAACAGAAAGTTATTTCTGCTTGCCTTGGAAAAACGAAAACTCGAAAATTGAATTAATTTTGCCAACCAACAATAGCGGACTTAAGGCCTGGTTACATAACCTACGAGGAAGTAATTGGTAAATGTGTACACAGAACACAGTTGAATAACACTGCTTCGAAAATACGAAAACACTTCATGCATCAAAGTGCCTTCGAATTGCGCAACATATTTAAATAGCTGGAAAATATTTGAATTTCAGACAAATTCAATTTAAAAGTTCAATCGCCGCCTCGGTCAATGTTTGCCGAGCAGAAATGATATAATCGAACGAGTTGCAAAATAGCTCCATTTCATTTGAGGTTTGCTTCGGAAAGGTTTGTTCAAAAAGAAGGCAAATTTCTAAGTTTTGAATATGAAGCGGTCAATCCTCATTCTTCTTTTCGTCCAGATTTGCATTATTTTAGCCGATGATTGGCCGTGTGATCGCAAAAAAGCTATCGCAGCTTTCAAGAAGAAAGAGGTGACGAATTCTTGGCCCAAGTTCGACAAAGATCCGTACAAAAATCAAACCGCAGCATCGGAAGCGAAGATACAGGCTTACCTAAAAGACCACGTAAGAGTTTGCGCCATCCGTTACACGGACGCATCGAAAAAGCGCTACGAAATTCGCGACTTTCCCGACAACGAAACCGCGTTGAAATCGGGTTTCATCGTCACCCATCAAGGAAAATGCGGTGCTTGCTCAAACCTGAAAGATTTAGCCGTCTACCTTGAAAGAAACCTCACTAACGTCGTCCGCTCCTGTGGTCTACGCATCTTTGACCGTTTCGTTACGAATTGTTTGAAGAATTTGGGTTTCACCTCGCAGTGCGTGGACATTTGGAAGTACAACGTGTACAACACGAAACGCGAGTGTTTTGGAACATGCATTTGGGCGTGGATCACGCGGGAACCCAACAACAACCCTGACGGGAGCCTCAACAAATGCTTGAAATGCGACGAAGATAAATCAGGTCCTGTTTTCAAATATTTCGCTGGCCGCACGCGACGAAATTCCGGAATCCGCAGTGCAATTGATCGTCCGACTGATCAGGTCTACAAAATGAACCATTGCTATTTCTAATCGATCTTTCTGAACTTTGATTACTTAAGAAGAAATGCGTGTCTCTGCGTATAATATTGTAGTAGGAGCTGTTTTAGGAAGAGAGAAAGTAGCTATGTATTGATATTGAAAGTATTGATAAGGAAACAAATAAAAAATATCAGTATCGATGTTTGCATATCATCTCCGGGTCTTTCTCTAAGTCATAAGGTACCATACATATCTTATGGTGAGAGATGAAAAAGAACCTGCATACAATAATTAAAATACTACCTGTAGTTTCCACAGCATTTGAGGTAGCTATATTCGTCGACTCCTCGTCCTTTTTGTTCGAGCGTCGCTGTTTTTCACGAATTATCGACTCCATTGCTTTAGTTTTTCTAAAACGATGAATTAAATTTCTCAATTCGTTAGTTTTGGCGGAGCCAATCAAACTTCGTGTAACATTGGGCTTTCCGCGTTTGACGTCATTGTGAGAAAGGTCTATCATGAGTTCATATCTTACTTGAATTGTGGATCGGATGGATCGACAGCGTAAAGATGCGAGGAATAGACAGCGGAAAATCGACTATCGTTGACATCAATTTTAAAATCATCTTGCTCCGTTTCCTGTTGTTTTTTCCTCCGTTTCTTTTTAGATTTTTCGTTTTTCATAATGGATTTGAGATTGAAATGCTTTTTACCATCATCCTCTTCCATCATGAGTAATTGCAACTCAGCCTGGTAAAAAAAGAACGTATGAGCACAAAGAACTTGACAGCACCTTTTTAGACACCTCACCTTTCTTCGCTTATCTTCCTCCGTTTCCTGGTCTTCTTTTCGTTTTCCCTTCTTTTTTTGTCGACGATCTTTCTCCTTCGTGGGCGCATCACTTTCAGTTTTCTTCAGTTCTTCGGCAAAATATGGATCATTCAGGTCAACATCAGCCGGAAGTTCATCGTCGCTCAGCTGGGCCGCTGATTGGCTGTTCGAACAAGATCAATGAAGTTTAAGTGAGATCGAGAGTTAACAAGAAATGACTAAAGAACATTTACACTAAAGTTTATCAACTCTGATGAAACGTCTAATGCTAAATAAGACCTTCCAAAAGAGTTTGCCATCAATGCCTGTTCAAACAAAAGCGAGAGTTCCACTTGTAGTTACAACCTTATTAACTGTCAAAACACTCGCAAACATTCACTAACCTTTCATCTTCTTTCTCTTTACACTGCTGTTTCATCTTCCTTTTTCGCTTCCTCTCGTTTTTATAACTCTCCCAAGGCGTTAACTCCTTTCGTTCCTTTTCATCTTTTTTTCGCTTTACCAATTCCTCGGCACTTTCCTTCAAACCAACTTCCCAAGTAATTTCCATGTCCTGATCTCCTTCCTCTTCCCGTTCATTCCGGTTGATCTCCTCGAGAAGCTCCTGAGCGACGAAAAAAATATTTTCCAAAAACCAGAAGGAATTAACTTTTAAACTAATCGGCAAATTTGTTTGCATCTTTCAGGCAAAGCCAATAAGAATGCCTACATTTCCAATACTTCGTGTAAAATGGTAAATAATGTACCTAAAAGCCAAAATTTATGCATTCTGATTGGTTACTGGAGTACCAATATGGCGGCCAATGCAGGCTTCGTCGATATTTATCCAAGAGCTTATATTCATATATTGAGCATGGGTACCTTGTACTTGGCTATCTTGTCATCTTCAGTTTCTCTCTTGTCTCCAGTCTCCTCAATCTCACGGTCGCTCTCTTCGTCACTTGATGACGCAAGGTAGGCTTTGAAGTCCATGTCTAAAATATCGTCTTTGCTGAAGTTTCTCATCGTCGTTTGAACACGGTGAGGATCGGTCTCGTCCCACGTCAGACGAACCGAGGACTGCTGCAAGGCTGTCGTTATGAATCTGGAGGAAATTAAAGTCGAAACTTTGAGCTAAAATTCAGCAAGAAACACATAAAACTGGGTATGGGATTAATAACGAATACATGAAGCAAATGGAGGCCATGTTGAGTGAATTCATGTCAAGTTGACATAAGTGGACTCTATGTGAACTGCAAAAAGAAACTGCACTAGTGCCTTTCCAGATAAAACGTACTGAGTTATTACTCGATATTTCTCATGTTTTCAGAACGATTTGTTGAACAGTTCGCAATTTTAATTATGAAAGCACATACTCGGATGGTTTATAACTCTCGGCAGAAGGCATTTCGGTCGCCTGCGAAGTTGGTTCACGGTCGAACGTCATGTCTTCAGGAATGAATCTGAGATCAACTCGAGAGGAACTTGCTTCGTACTCCATTCCATCGCATTCTTCGTAGATCTTCTCAGCCGTTGCTGCACGGGAAAATAAGAAACAAAATGCTGTTATTGAAACATTATTTGAAACAAATTACTGCCTCCATTTACCATAATTCATATACTGCACAGCTCATTTCTTTTTATTCGAAAAGAGACCATCAATTACCTGGCGAATCACACTCGACAACACCATAGTAATATTTCAACCGATTCAACTGATACTCCCGCAACTTTTCCGTACTGTATTCCTCATCCTAAGACCGAAAAAGAAATTGAAGCTTTCTGCTTACATTGGGAAGAATTACATTCTCGTATAGAATAGTTCACGATAAATTTTAATTCTAAACTTGCAAATGAATAACTAACGAATGCAGGGGCACAAAATGTAGTCAATGCCTTATCGTCTTCATAATAGAATATCGATCTTTTAAAGTAGAAAGTGGGGCAGAGGAAGAGGTAAAAGGTGGGGCCTGCCCCAAGAACCCCCTCTTCACTGACTCTGCTAAACTTTACACCGAAATATGGTATACTCGACCATGATCAAAATACACCGAAATATGGTACACTCGACCGTGGGTACTCGATCAGGTGTATTAGACCATCTCCATTTTTATCATGTCTTAATTTAGACTAGTCTTTATAAATTACGCCAATTTCGAAATTATGACTGATGCATGCAATCGCATGAGTCGCATCAGTTTTGATCCGCCCCTGCTTGTACCTGGTTGTTTGCGTCAGCAGTGTTCAGTTCAGCGGCAACAAGTTCCGTCGGTCCAGTCTCGTCCTCTCTCTCCATTCTCTCCAATCCAAAATCTGATGGATAGATCTATTTGAAATGTTCATATCGATTAAAATCCGTAACACATTAAAGTAATTATAAAGTTCGCCCATTTACACGATTTACGCGATCAGTCGTATCTGGTCATATACGATCTTCATTCACGCATACAAACGTCGTATTTTAAACTGCTCTGCCAACGAAATCAGCAAGAGTATGGAATAAGCACTCGTTTCCATCGGTCAAAATAACAATCGTAATTGATACGGAACAGCATTCATAGCATAATAGTCTTCTAGTTACTAGTTTATACTTAATCAAAATAATAATTATACGAAATACTAAAATATGTTTTTACTTTAAATAATAAAGCATTTTTCAATACACTTACTTTGACCGAGTCTATGTTTCCACCCGACGGCACAAACGAATGCAGAAGCACTGTAAGTTCACACAGAAGTGAAATAAATCATCAGTCCCTTCACCAAACGGCTATTTAACAGACACCAGAGCTTACCGTACAAATCTTCCGCCGTGATTTTATCCCAGTCCATGTTACAGATGGCGAGTCTACTGGTCGAGTCCTCAGTCGTTGGTGCGTCGGCATCAAATTCCAGCCATGTACCAGCCTCAGATTCACCATTCTGAATGAAAAAGTGCAAAAGTCTGAATTCTGGAAAGTTCTGTCAAACGAATGGCAAAGTGATTGGCCGAGCTGGGATGAAAATGACCAACAGTATTCCTCGAAATTATTTTAGCGAAATAAAAAACAGAGCAACAATATTGACGCGATAACAAAAATAACAAGCCTATTCCTTTAATTATGAATGTGGTTTCTCATATTGAATTTCACATAAAAAGCAATGGGATTCGATAAAACAATATCTAAAGCTTTTCTGATGGAATTGTTCAAAATTTTTCTTTGATGTTACCACACAAGAGCAAAATAATTTAGAACAAAAAGAAAGAAAAACTTTGCTACAATGGCCGCTATTTACAGTTATATATAAGAATTGTCGAGAAAAGGTAATTAAAATTATGTAACATCACTTGTCGGAGTACATTGACAATAAATTATGCAACCTTGAAGTCGTTTAATACTCCCCACCAATTTGAATAAGTATTTAACAGCGGGGTTGAGTTCGCCCCGCGAGCACCCTCTAATACACCCTGGGTGGTAGTGACTGGTATCATTCTTACTCCTTTGTAAGAGGTCTAATGATTTCAATAGTTTTAAAATAAACGGGAACAACAGGGGGTAATTTGTGGTTTAAAGCGACCACAGGGGTTAATCCTGTTAACCTGATCTGAAAAAAAGGTTTTGTTGAGAACAAATGGTCTCACGAACAGTCTCGTGAGGTCTCTGTCATACAAACACGCAACCTTGTACACGCAAATTTTTCGAAAGTAAATTAAAATAAATTTCTCACAGAACTAACATTTATCTCAACATTTTCACGCACTAAATCTTCCTCTGTATCTAAGAATTCCCCTTCCACTTCATCTTCCACCACTTTCCTTCTTCTCTTCCGCTTATCATCTGACGTTGAATTTTCCTTCTTGGCCTTCTTTTTCTTTGTTTTTCCCTTTAATCGCTTTTCCTCATTTTCGGAACAATTATTTTCCCTAAATAACCAAAAACAAAGAACACCTTTTTATACCGTTTAAAACGAACTATGCACACAATTTCCGATTGAACATTTTTAACACAAATTTGACGTCACATTTGGCTTAGTCAGACAAGAGAGTGTAAAATATCAGTATTCTAAAAATCAATTCACGAAAGCATGAAGTACAGTAAAAAGGAATTTATTCACAGGTTGGTTTAGTGTTATATTACGATTTGTTATCATTTCGGTTTGTAGTAAGCCAAAAAGTTCTTGATGCTTTCTGAAGTTTACGAAGTTTGTCATCGAATTTTTGCAGGTAAATAGTTTAGCGATTACGATAGTTATAATCAAATAACCAAGAAGTAAAGTGGCCATGACATAGAATAACAGCCAGTGAAATTAACAACGAAAGGGTATTCTAATTGTTATTCTAATTTGTTTATTTCTTGTCTCCTATTGGGTTATCTTTATCACGTGTTTTCACTGTTTTGCCACAAAACAAAACATGTGCTTTACCATATTTCTGTTTAAACAAACTATACTTTCATAACGAATGACATTTGTTTATACGATATTTGGTGAGAAAAAATATTATTATAATTATCACCGATAGGTTTTCAGTGCAGAAACTTGCAATTATATATCATACGATATTTTTGCAATAACATACATGCAATAACATGCAATATGTATAACGGTGTAGCGACAAATATCTATCATTTGCAGTATTTTAAAAATTTAGTGTTTATCACATCATATGGACCAAGGATACTTCAATATTACATCACCATTCGCCACATAAAAAATAGCGGCATGTCGATTTTAAAAACAGTTTTTGCGAACGTATTAAAGTTAAGCAAACAATATAAAAATGTTTATTATATATATATATATATATATGCATCAATTAAATTTTAATTAAATGGCGAGAACTTTCTTTGACGAACTTTGTGTTATGTATGCTGTTTTATTTTTGTCAACAAAGCATAATTCTCTGTAAGGGGAGATAGAGCGACATGTCGAAATCAACACATGCTCTTTGACAGAAATAAGGTTCATATTTTTAACAAAAAGCGCTACTTTGCAGAAACACAAAAGTTGATTAAAATCAATAAAATGTAGCCAAACTTACTTAATTGATGTAGCATATAAAAAATGTTAACATTGTTATTTGATTACCGACTCAAATTCGCGGAGAACTATATTTTTTATCGACATACCACTCTCTCCTTTACCTATTAAGGTGAAATAAAAATTCCTCGAAAAATACAATATTAAATACAATCAGCGTTGTTAAAATAATGTCTTGACTATAATTTGCAGCGCGTTATTTTTTAAATGTTAAATGCTATCTTGATTGATCTTTTATTGGAATTATCCTAGACAACTAAAACAATTCCGTCGGCTTTTTGAAATGTTTAATTTACCTAATTTCGGCATCATCCTCTGTTTCTTTAATCGCGCCATCTAAACATACATAACAAACATTGGAGTCTGATTGTTTAATAGATGAATGCGTTTCCAATCAAAACAAAATTAGGAGATCTAGAACTTTTGGAAAATTCTTGGAAAACTTTTACTTCCTGAAACCGTATCTTCGTTGACCAATCAAATCTCACGTTCGTCTTTTGAGGAAATCCGATTGGTCAAAGAACAGGAAGTTAGGAGTAAGGGCTATGACGCTTCCAAGGAGTTTTCATAAACATTTCATGAACTCCGTGTGTCAAGAAATAAATGTGAGCGAATTAATTAGTCATTCTCCGAACGCCATTTCGCCGAATGTAAAACAGCATATCAAGTTTTGTATAAATTACAAACTTTGGTTGCAACCTATCGTAAAACGCGGAAAATATAATCCTGGAAAATTGGCAATTTTTATACCTGTGTTGGGTCCTCGACTCCCATATGCACCACTGAGTTTGCAGGGATTTAATTTGCACATATTGCCTATTTTTTGCAACCACACTTTATAGCTTCACTCGTTTTAAGATGGATTTTTTAGCTGGTGTATGATACAGATATGATCAAAATCTATTCTACAACTTGAATTAAATATGATCCTGCATAATTGGCAGTTTTTACAAGTGTGTTGGATCCTCGACTCCAATATGCACCACTGAGTTTGCAGGGATTTAATTTGCACATATCACATATAAACCTTAGCAAGCCTGGCCCTACTAAGAATGGCTGCATAGTTTTTTTAAGTTGGGGAAATAATAGTATATCACATACCGTTCTCATCAGACAATTCATAAAAATTTGAAAGATCTTCTTTTGCACTGTCCTGCACTTTACGGCCTCGTTTGTCAACAAAATCTATGCATAATCATTAGCCAATATTTCAGAACACTGCTTGAATTATGTCTGAGGTTTGTCTGAGCGAGACATTCAGACCTATTTATATCAGGACAAAATTTGTGCAATAAATTGACCTAATACACATGCAAAATGCTGAACTTAGAAAAAAGGAATAGCATGTTATTGAAATGAACTTATAATTCAACATGAAAATTATGTGAGATTTAAGTGGATTAATTTGTTGATTAAAATTTGATTATTTTCAATGTTACTTGAAGAGAAAGTTGTCACTTACATTTTGTATTAAAATTTTTATCGCTGAACATCTGCTGAAACCTGGAATCAATTTTTACTTTCCTCTTTTTGTTTGGTATTTTCTACAAATCCAAAACAAAGGTTCAACCAGGGTGAAGCAGTGAAATCATAAAAGTGTAACATCATACAATCATGTCATAGATGTTCACTTTTCAAGTCAAAACCAATGGTCTGCTGAATATGACATTTATTCTCTGAATAGACTTTTGCACAGAAAATGTAGTCAATGCCTTATAGTGTTCATAATAAATTATCAATCTTTTAAAGTAGAAATTAGGGGGGCAAAGGAAGAGGTAAAAGGTATGGCCTGCCCCAAGAATCCCCTTGGCACTGTCTCTGCTAAACTTTGCATGATTTTCTTTTTGCAAAATAATTCTTTAAAAAACTGCTACTTTGAACAACATTCTTCTTCCAAACTAGGTCTGATGTAAAACCATAAATCAGATTACGATTTTTTAAGAAAAAATCCCCCCTGATCCAACAGTTCAAGGCTACTCACTAATCCCAAAATAACGTTTATGATCCCCTACTGAGCCACACAAATTTAAAACTATGCTCTTTCAACTAAAGTTGAGAAAAATGTATAGAAGACGCCAACTTAATTACTTAAACACGCGTAAAGCAAATGAAATTTGGCTGAACTTCAAGCTGTTAGTTTGGAGCGCGTTTTTTGATAAAGTTAACAAAATTGCTCTTTGATTCTAAGTAGCATGCTCGCATGCTATACATGCGTTTCAAACTCGTTTCTCTTAGCGAGTTTTTACACCAGTTTTGACTGAACTTTTATATAGTACATTGCTACACCTTTTATGTACGTCAATATTGGGGATTATTACCCTAAAACGAGGATCTTTTGCGATGTGTGAAAACCTTTCATCCATCTCCATGATTCCTAGTCGTAACAATTGAAAATAGTTTGTTAAAAGGTGTAAATTAAGTGAGATATTCCACAATATACGACTTCAAATTGAACGCCATATTGAAAAGCCTTAATATCCGATGTTACATAAAGTACCAATTAGATGTTTGCATCCAGCCTCCGCGCATATTTATTGCAACATTTTTGCATTCTTTGTGCTCGTAATGAATAATCGTAATGTGTTTTTGGTCCACCGAGCAAATATTTAGGAAAATAATTAATTTTATTACTCTCACCTTTGTACGGCATTTACAATAATTTGAAATTTCGGGGCAACATTTCGCGAGTTTTTCATTCAAAGTTTAAAATGTAAAACCCGAATACCGCCCTACGCCCCGCGGGTACTCAATCAAGAGACTATAAAACCCCAAGGATATATATTGTTGACAATATGTCAAAGCAAATAGGAGCATGTTTTCATCGAATGTAGTTTATGCGTGTGGTTTCTTCGGCGTCGACTGCAATTCGACAAAAGTGAGAAGTGTTGAACATTAGCCTTCAACAACGATTTCGAAGAGCTTTTAAAAAGCCCAAGAAAAATTGCGATCAAGATTCGTCTGATATTACGCTACGTCAAGGAATCGAGCGAGTGTGATTCCTGGCAGACATGCGATAGGTATTAGCTGTCACCGGCGGTCAGAACGGGTTGTGCTGTAAGCGGAAACTAGACGAACACATCGCTAATGGCTACATGTTTATTTTTCAATCTGCGACATACATAAGGAATTGTATCTGGATAGCGAGCAAGCCAAGGTAGGGGAACAGACAATCTGTATATATAAGTATTTATTGACGTCTATAGATCATATGTAGTTACAGACAGGCATATCTGTGTGTTATATTACAGCGTTCCTAACTTAAAAGCAAACATCATCGCCTTTGGGGCTTAGATTTCGTGCTCGTTGAAACTAAATCCCTCGTAATGTTGCAAGCGTTTGTTCGTGGAAATTTGGGGCACGAATCGATAGTTTAAGACACAGTTATTCGTTGTTTAGATGACAGCACACAACCAGTTAGCAAACACCCGCGGTTAATACCTGCAAGCCGCTACAATTAAATCGGGTAATAAATTTTAAACAAGGCCTAGCAGAATACACTTTGACCAATGTCAAGTAACGAAACTGCATTAAAAATTTCTACGATTAGAATCAAGCACGTTTCATATGCCCATTGTTTTTCTATGTGTTTGGACAAGTCGGTTATCATTTCGTTAAAAAAAATCCATACTCGATTTTGGCGTTAGCTTCTGAATTGTTCTCGAACATACGAGTTTTTATTGTGTATTTATATCACATGCCTTTTCGATTATGGCTTGTGACCTCTATTTACGCATGAATTTTTAGCGACACGAAATTTATAGAATCTTTAGTGATTGAGACATTGTGAAATCGGTGACTTTAGATTTTGTAAGTGTATTGAATCGGCAATAATTGTCAAAAAGATATCTCCATTCTAAAGAATTGTGCCCGAAATATTCGTACACATCCAACGATATTTTAAACAACGAAATTTGACAAGCATGACTGTGTAAACAAAGAAATCGACAATGTCCTTACATAGTCTGAAAGCGACATGATTTTTTGTTTGCCGAAATTTACAACAGTCTTAAATTAACATCTCTATTGTACGCAAGTGAAACTGCATTATTGTAATGACTTTTAATGCTTAGGTGTATTATGAGGGGCATTTAGCCGTAAATATGAAACAGTATGGCTGTGAAACGTTTGACTTCACGATGAGGATTAAATTCCAGTCTGTGATATTTTGATTCACAGTATGAAATTATCTAAATAGTGAAATTGTCAACGACATTAGAAAAGGTTGGAATTTATGCAACATTTTGCATTTTATCTTAATAACCAAATGTTATCGGGTTATTAAAAGATACAAATTCTAGATTGTACCTGAAGAAAACGGCCTTATTTAGATTACAAAATATGCCTGCATTTCATCGTCAAGGAAATCGACAATAGACTGTAATATACAGCGACCGGCTAGACTCTTTGAAGCCATTGATTTGATTCTATTTCGACAACTTCTATAGACAATATACAATGAGAATGACATTTATATCACGACAGTAAAATTGTTCTAAATTCGTGCTGCTCAATGAAATAATTATTAAATTCGCTTTCGCAACTTCGGAAACAAACACAGATATTCACAAAAAGCGAAAATGGATGCCTCTAAATCGGGTTCGAACTCTTGTTGAGCCGATTTCCTTTTCTTTCTTTCGAGCCTCGCCGTTTATTATCTAATTGCAAACGTTTTATCGGCTTATGTATGGCAGTATGGGTTTATCAGTCCTAATTTCAATATATCAACTTTGTCGATCTTTCGTTGTTGTGTTCTGCGGTTCTGAGCTCGATTCTGAGGTTCGTAAACACCGAAATGGACTAAATTTTTTAAGGGAAACAAAACAGGAAAAAAACGCTGCATATCTAGCGAAGCAGGAAAGTATATTAAAACAGGTAAATAAACACAAAGCTCGATAATCACTTCAACACACAGGCTTAAGACTTTGGTCAATATGCTTAAATAATGACCGCAAAAAGTGCTATATTGAATAGTCAGTCACAAAGGCTTCTTAAGTTGATGTCGGCTAATTTGAATTCGTTGCATTTGAACTAGTTTTTCATGACAATGAGACCCGGAAATCGTATTATTGTTTCTTTAAGTTCGTGAAGAAGTGATGAATGCCTCGTTTTTATAATGCTGTAGTTTGTATAACCCTTGTTCGCTTGTATAACCTCATTTATGGGCGATAATTTTGGTGATGCGTGATTGGAATCTTATAGACAGCCACAAGTCCATCTCTCGGTGAAATACAGGCCATTAATTTAGGCTGGTTTAGAGTAATTTGTCTCTCTCGCGTGAAATACGAGCTAGCCACTGATGTCATGTCGACCTAAATGCACTTTCCGATCGCACTTTTGACAGAAAGCATATTTCCTCTTTGCCCTCAACACACGCACATTACCATTGATAGAAATCTCAAAGATATGTCCTTGTATGCCTTCGAAATACGACAAATTCCAAAAGAGATGAGTTATCAAGTATAAAAAAATGGAAACGTTCTTCTATATATAACTCATTAGAAGCCAAAGGACTGTTTCTATAAGCCCAGAAAGTTATCATTTGTCCCATAAAGAAGCTATTCCTTTTGGCTTTGTCTCGCGCGCGGTTCTAATAACAATGACACATTGGTCGGGCTACTTTATTACTTTATTTCCAACATTCTATATCGGTGTTCCGATGATATAAAACTGGGTAAAAGATGGAGACGTTTCCCGTTGCTTATTAAAACGGAAAAAAGAGACATTTTATTTAATCTGAACAAACAGCTATTCCAACTCAATTAGAATGAAGACGCGTTAAAAAAATACTCATGGGAACTGTTGTTGAAATTGTATATTTATGATTGCATTAACTTTGATGCTACGTATAGTTTTACCCTTTATCCGTAAAAGACACATTGTCACTGGGAGCTGTTACAATAATATATTTATGATTACACTTGATAATCTTGCGTGTCAACTTTTTTCCTTTCAAATCAATTCTGACGAAATTAAACTTTTCACAATTATCAGAGACATATTGAAACGTCGATGCATACTGGTATATCCATTATCGTTGATGTACTGCATGTTTGTTACAATCCCGAAATTTGTTTATTTTGCTACATCTTGAAGTTGTTTTGAAATAACTGTAACAAATGATTTTCAATTTATGAGGACAGTTAAAGTTTACGGAGATAACAAAACATGCTTTTGTTGCGATCATGAATTTTGAGGAACGTTTAAGTTGTAAAATGTAAAAATTTAAACGCTCTCCTTCATTTCAAGTTTCTAGCAAATTTACTTCAACACACGAGTGTGCATGTCACGAGCATATATTAAGTTAGCGACTGTAAAATTACGGAAATGCTTTCCAAAAACCTGATATCACATATCACATGATTCACATCAATTTTATGGTACAAGTACCCGCTGTACGGGTGGCATAGCTTGGCGTATTTGAGTGTTGACTTTAAAAAATCATCAAATCTCCGAAGGGGGTGCTAGAAAAACACAGCAAAGGGTCATATTTTATAACACGATTTGTGCAAAACACTGGAAGAATTCTGCGCGATTTTATGCAGATAATATTTCTCATTTGGCATTTTGGAATTAGGCATTGTCTGCGAGGACATTGCAAACCATTTCATCGTGCTAATTACAAGCAGATGTAAGCACTTGAGACGGACTTGCAGAAACGCATTCTTAGATTTGGTTCAGACGCGCAACATTTACGAGAGGATGGTGATAAATATTAGTTCTATACGTTTGGGCTCATTTGGAGTAGGTTCAGGGGCTCTTAATTAACTATATCCTGGGTGTAGTTAACACCAAAATACAACACCAAAACCCTTATTGGCCAATCCTGTCAGAAACTATAGCTAAAAGTCGACAACTTTTTATACAACCACCTCCAGACCTAAAATATTCGACGTCGTGAAACGGCCTTTCTTTTTATCGCCATAAATGATCTTATTTGACAAAGTAAAAAAACATTAGGAACTGCTGAGTGTTTAAATCAAGTACAAATTGAAAGAGATGAGTGTTCAAACTATATAGAATTACCATCGTTTATTTACGGATATGGCAGGAATTAAGCGAAATTTGGGGATAAAACAAGTGAAAAACCTGGGATCGAGGATGAACAAGTCATCGGATATGCCGGGTCCAGTTCTCTACATCTATATTTCGCTCTCTGGGAAAAATCGCCTCATGTTCGGGAAGAATGTTTTTGCATCAGAGTGTTGGGTCATTCCTGTCACATAAATTGCGTACAGCTTGTTAGTCATATCAATTGTAACATCAGTTTATCAAACTTGATGCGCTATAACGTCCCTTTATATAATAGCTGCACGCTTCGATCCTCAATAAGAATCCGAAAACTTTCTCGATGGCTAGATTTGATGTTTTGAAAAAAAACCTAGTGTTTACAGGACTGTCCCAGTAGTTTTTTTCGTTTTTTTATTCCCTTCGTCTCGTAAATGTCGTACGAAACGGAGGTATCAATTATTTTTTTCGATTTCCCGGAGGCGTTTTTCATTATTTAATTTCTATATGTCAAAAAGGTACGTCACTGGACCGGTGTTAAATACTTGACTGACAGAAATATTAAGAAAATCGCAGATAAGATTAGGGAACTTTGAGAGAGCATATTGTATAATTTGCGTGGGTTAAGCGGTTTTCTCGTTTCATGCAAGGTTTCCATGCAAACAGCGTAAACACAGCTTGCGTCACTATGTAAGCGCACAGTTGCTAGCGGAATATTATCGTGACTGATGTTTTATTAGCCTGACATCTTGTCATTGACGCTTCATACGTGGATTAGTTTGCAGTACCTTGCTCCGGAATGTTAGTCTCTTAATTACACCAAGTCATAACCAAAACCTTACGTTTAGTTAATGGGAATTCCTGAACGCGTGAATTACTCGGAAATACAATATACAGTTGCTACCGATTCGCACTCGTGCAACGACTTCACACAAAAAATGTTACAAATTCGTCAAAACGATGTTTTAAATTCGAAAATTTCTTAGAATATTTGTACTTTTATTGTTTGTACACTATACCGAGAATGGAATTAAATAGTTGTCTGTCTTTAATATACGCTGTTTTTCAAAGGCACTGTGCATCTGGTAAAAATTTTACCGTCCTAAAATAAACAGGCGCCCTCTGATCCCGGGAGCCCTCAACAAAGAGCCCCATTGATAAAATCCCTTTAACTTTGTCCTCTTTTGAAAATTCCAAACGGAAGCCCTGCCAAAAGTTCAACTACAGGAAAAATGAATGTCAATTCCGTCCAAACTGAAGAAACTGAACCAAACAAACGTTTCAAAAGCAGACATCGAACTTAATTATTATCTGAAACATACAGTCTGGAAAAATCCCGTGGGAACAAAAGCTTTCGTTGCAGACAAAGTTTTTTTTACAGAAAAACTGGAATCAGCTAATCAAAACTGGAATCAGAAGCCTTTAACTGGCAATCGATCCGCGGTTATTTAATGGTTTCTTCCGCGTTTGGACAAATTAATGTTTTTTCATATATAGTATTATTTAAGTGGGTGTTATTTTGAATTAAATTAAACACCATATTGGGGTGAAGGTATGATTTTCAACTGACGTCTACTCTTTAAATCCGTTTCTATAGTGTTATTAAATGGTGGAACTAGATGCTCCGGACTTTCAATGTCTGTCGAAAACGAACAGGTTATACCAGTCCAGGTGAGATACATCGAAGTTCAGAGTGCAACGGTCAAACGAAACAAGAAAATCCCGTCGTTGCCACCTAAGACTCCGGAAGCACCATGCCAGCAAAATGGCCAAGCGACGATGGTGCAAAACAATGTCTGTCAATCACCCGTATCACCAGAGAGCATCGAGGTAATGTCACCATGTGCTGGTAGCCCCACAAACCCGCTTACACCGAACAAGTTTCAATTCGATCCAAACTTGACCTACGCGGAAAAAGTGGCTCACGAGATGATTGTAACTGAGAAGATATATTTGGATAATTTGAAACAAATCATTGACGTAAGTACGAAGTGTATCTTTTTACGACCGTGTTTTTCCGCCTCGTGTTTTCGCCTGCCGTCGACGAAAATATTCGCCCACGAGAAAATGTCTACAGATTATGATAAAGATTAAGAAACGCCGCATGTTTTTCACTGAGCGTAAGATAATTGAATCAAGGCTTCTTATGTCAACACTCAATGAGTGTGCGAAAGATTCGACGGAAGCTGATTACATGAAGTATTGTTATATCGGTGCTGTGTATTTTAAATGTGATTGGTTCATTCGTAGTCACATGACTTTAGATAAACGAAATGTGTCCCGCTGGGAAACAAGTGAAAAATTGTTGCCCGCTTCTTGTCATAACAAATTAAAGTGGTTTTTTTTAAAATGAAATTGTTGTGTAACATGTATGTCTTTGGTCCTATATAATCAAAAACTTAATGTACACTACCTCGGGAAATAGTGAGTTTTGTTTTCCCTCGAGTCTCAATGTTGGGGAAACAAAACTCACTATTTCCCTCGGGAGCATACATTAAGGGTATATTGTATTAGGGGCTGTTGATGGACCCTAACAAATTTCGTGACAAATTTTCAGACCGGTGCTGCAAATTGATCACAAAATCGTTTGATGCTAAAACAATTTAAGCCAATATTTATTATTTGTTTACATATTTCCCTTGTTTAGTTTGTCGGTTACTTTTTACACTCAGACATCAACCTGGGGCTGAAAATTTCGTTGTAATATTGCATTAAGCGGGTGAACAGCGCATAAATCGACCCCTGGATAAAAATGTTTCATGTAATCAGCCCCTCAAAATACACGTCGTCTGCCCACAGCGACGCCATATTGAATCGCTGGCACTTAATGTAAACATCTCACCATTCTCACGCGACCTAACGCAATCTTATTACCAAAGCTAACGCGCATGTGTAGATCCAAAATATCTGTGCCCGATAAATTATGGTCATGTCAATAAAGTTTGAAAAGCAGGGATTATGCCATGATAACATAATTTGTGCAGCGATGAATAAGCTTTGTCAGTGATAAAATGCAATATATTTATCATTTATCATTTATCATTTTACATATGCACTATATACGTACATTATTGTGAGTATGGAGATAGCATGTGTATATTATTGCGTAATCTCGACCGCAAGAATTGTTAAAAAACGTAAACCTTAACTTGCAGAATCGGTACATGCACTTATGCTGATGCAAGAAAGAGCTTTTCTAAAACAACTTTACATTTACATAAATTTTACCATTTTCTCTGCTTTTGTGAGGTGATAAAATTTCCCAAGAAATTACCCCACATTTTGGAAGTCCCCGAACGAAACATTTTCTGTTTCCAAAACGCCGTAACAAATTCCAGTCAAGACTACATAGCTTGTGTGCAGCGTGTAAGAGGACAGGCTAAGTTAGCACAGAATTAGTAAGGCTTCTGAAATGCTTCTTACATCAATGCTTCGAAAAATACGCTTTTCTCGTTGACGAATACGAAAGAATGGCTGCATGTATATACATATTAAGAAGTTATACAAATAATCATCAAATGACAAATGTAAACAGGTCTTAACATGTGCATGTTTCTTTAAACAAATGTTAATTCCTGCAAAAGTCACCGTAATATCGCTTCCTAAAAAGGAAACTATATCGGTCGTCGTTTCCTCAACAGCTAGATTGCAGCAAATATTTATCAAATGTAAACAGGCTTTTACATGCATTTTTTTAAGCAAAGGGTAATTCCTGCAAAAGCCACCGCTATATCGCTCCTTAGAAGGAAATCATAGCTCGTCTTTTCCCCAACAACAGCAATAATTGAAGCAGCAAATATTTATCAAATGTAAACATGCCTTAACATGCATGTTTTTTTAAACGAAGGGTAATTCCTGCAAAAGCCACCCGGTTATATTGCTTCCTAGAAAGGAAACGATAGCTAGTCTTTTCCACAAACGTGATGTGGGGCAGCCGTCAGGCACCAACATGATTGCCACTTGTTCGAAGAAGGTGCTCTGTGGTGCTAATATGGCGCTAAAAACTCAAGCCTCTTCATATGTATGACACTCCAAGCCCCCGCACAGTTCAGCTATTTCGTCGTTACATAATTGATATATTACTTTGTTTTGGTCTGTTGCAAAATATCGTGTTTTCAATCTCCTTTTTCTCACGCTAAAGGCTTCGTTACATAACATCCAGAAACGCTCTCGAAAAAAGTCAAAGTTTATCTTGCCCTATTATTTATACTGCCTTCTCGGGAAAAAAAGTATTGCCAAGTCTGTTGATATAGAAAATGTACAGTTATGCTTCAAGTGGAACTGAAGTCAAGAACGTAAAAAATATGCAATGGAAAGTGAAATGCACTTTGGTCTCTCTTTGCCTAAAAATTTGAAATTCTTGTTACATTTTTTCTTGTCATCTTATCAACCTAATACCTCGTTGCATTTTTAAAAAACTTATCTCTCTATTTCAACATTCCTTAAACTCAAGTACACTCTGCCACACTTAGAGCTGCCTCTTCGAACGTTCCGATAATGGTTGGATGGTTGCCATATTTGATATGTTGCTAAAATTCCGTTGCATCAACGAAGACAGTTATATTGATTTGTATTGTTGTAAATATATTTAAGAGCTATTAAATCGGTACCCGACGATATACGACTTATACTGTCATGCATCTGTGAGCAATACAAGGCAAAAATCTGCACGATATTTTTGTGTATACAAATATACATGCATGTACGGAGTTGAGATATTATTAGGATCATCTTCTATTTGTCCATAATGTCTTTTCAAAACAAACGCCAAAGGCAAGACTCTAGCTGCATGGCAATGTTTTCCCGGCAAACGTGAACCATATATTATATGCCATAAATAATAATCAAGCGTGCTCTATAATTAACAGTGATTTGAAAAGGATTGGTTCTTATCAACAAACTGTTTGATAACGAATCAGAGACATATCTATAAATTATGTTTTAAACTAGCGTTTTAAAAATAACGTGACTATATAAGCTGGCTGATTTAACGATTTGATTGCGCAACTTGTTCCAAACATATTTTAAAATTCAATTAAACATTTTTGTAATTGTACTTGCACTTAAAAACGAGGTCAAGACGACGAAAACACCATTTTAAAATGCATTTATCATCACTAGCCTATCTGCATATTCCTGTTTAACTTATGCATGCACGTATTCACCAAAGCAATAAACTATAATTAGTCCTTTAAACACGATAGATATAGGCAAAACTTGTTGTGACTTGAAAAAAACAATTTCAGTAAATTCCTATAGACATTTTGCCGTAAACCAATATAAAAACTCAATCCTTTTTCGTTTTGGAAAATATATTTTGCATGTGTTTGTGACGTGTCCAAGTTATATTCCATACAAATATTTTTAGTCCCAACAATTTCAATTATTTTTTTGTTCCCATATATAATAGGTATTTGTATCAATATATTCAGCCGAAAATTAAACAGGCCTGTGCCTGTTAGGATATTAATTGCACGAAGAAACTAAGGAATGTGAATTTAAGAATAATATCTCACAAGAAAATGTTAATTGTCCTAAGTGGTGATGTTTTAAATTTTAACAATTTTCGTTGAACAGCTAGTGGACACATTTTCCATTGCCAAATTTGCAATAGCTATATCTTTGACATCTTTTGTTCAATTGCTCGCTTGCTTAAAGAGTTACTTTATATCATCATCATCGTTTTACACATTTATCAGTTCTTCCAAATTTCTTTTGTGCCAATATAGAAATAAGCAATTCTCCTTGTTGAAAAACTGGCTTTTAAACAGCGCTTCTGGTCAAGAAAACTTGTCAATTTTTTTTGGCGTAAAACCTGTTAAGCTAGGAAACTCTGTAATAATGCATGTAGTATCTATATTGTAATCGAATATATATTGACCAGAAGATATATGCCAATCATGCATTTATGTAGCTATAATCGCGAACACATGTTCTTGTGATGATAACATTCTATTTCGTATTAATGTCAGACGATAAGAAACAGTGATTTCATTGCTTCAAACATTAAGGTTATGCTATGCGAATAAAGAAACAATCTTAGGCATTAACTCGGGACGTGCATGTTTCACAGATTTCCGTAAAAATTTCGTTTAACCATTGTTACTGATATTGCTTGATGACCTTCCTCATTTCCCGGATCAACCAGTTTCCATCGCGGACAAGGAATCGCCAAATTATAATCAAATTAGAATGTTCATCTTGGTATCAGACAGCAGTTGTCAAATCGAAGTGTTACGTGTAGCCAGTAGGCTACTGTATTTGCTAGTTCTAGGCCCTCACGAACGCGGTCAGAAACACCCGGATGTATTCGGTTGTTACACGAATTTGCCGGCCCTCTACTCTAATCAATCTCACTGCTAGGATTGGCAGTTCGGATGTCTAGATAAAATGTGTTTCAAATGATAACATGCAGCTTAGGCAGGAAGAGGTATCAATATACACATCATGTATAGCCTATAGGTATTGTATTTATACAGACCAGTCACCTTTTTGGAACTAAATTTAACACTTGTTTGATTTACACCTTGCATTACTATATATACAACTCCATGCCTTAACTTTAAACGAGATAATCAATCATTTCGAACGATTGCTGTTTGATGTGTTTGTGAAGATGTCTATTTTTTCTACCACAGTCATAAAGGTTATCATTATTTGACTGATTTTATCCTGACGCATGTGCTATTTTGATGCGTACGAGTGACTCTGGACGGGATCTAATCGAACCGTCATCATAAAACAATAAAAAATAAATGATAAAGATGCAATCCAGACCATTCCGCGGCAGGAATGGGTCGCATGCACGCTTTGCGATTGCATTGGATTCGGAGCATAGTTCTGACCACAAAGCTAACGAGAACCATGCATGCATGCATCCTTGTGAAAGTATAGGAGGAAATTCGTATAAGAAAGAATGTTTTTGACTTTTTGCATTGGAAGGCTTTTTGTATCTAAAAGCATCACTTATGGATTATTTGATTGTGAAATGCCTAAAATATACAGAAGACGTCTTGACGTTTCTACGTTTAGTGTTTGCATGTAGATATAATCTACAATATGATCTTGATAAAAAAGCAAGGAAGTATCGTGGTAGCCCCTTCAATTAACCTCATGTCTTCCAAATGTGTCTAAGCTGTATATTTGCAGCCTAAGTGTTTTGATGTTACAACTAAAGGTCCTTTGTAAAAACCAGAAGCTAACCCTCCTGCATGATAAATGCTCTAAAGTCAAATCTTCGAGAAATTTCTTTGTATATTTGCATGTATATACTTGAAAACATTTCACGAGAGTTTAATCTACATGAAATACTATTTTTAAATTCTATACGATAAGCCAAAAATTGAGATAAACTGAGGCTTTTTTTACTCCACTGAGGACAATCTTATTTCAGAAAAAAAACGGACATGTTTGAAACAATTGCCTGTAACCAAGAGTAGTTTATTGATTTCTGCATATTTCCAGGGGTTTCTTGGCCCAGTTGCGAATGATTCTGATCTTGACGTCAGTAAAGAGAGTATCGATGATCTATTCATCAACGTCGAGGAAATCTATCAATTCAATTGGTAAGTTACTTTTTCTAGTAAAAATATACGTTAAGTGCCGAATCGAATGCAAATGAACTTAAACAAAGACTTTAGCTCATTAACATTAGGTTCGGCACATGAAAAGTTCGACGTCTGAAACGGGCCTTAGTAGCTATACTGCATGTTAATGAATTGAACATTAGTTTCAGCGTTTGTGAAATTATACGAATTTGATTTTGGGAATTTAGGGTCCTGCTTCAAGATATGGAAAAGTGCAATTTTGACCCAGTGAAGTTGGCTAAATGTTTTGTCGTGAACGTATGTATGAATTTCTGGAAGCATTCCCAAAATATCACATGCTCATGCATGCATATATATTCACGTAATCTTATTGTTGAATAATCCTCTTGCCAGGAAATTGGTTTTGACATATACACGAAGTACTGCACTCACTACCCAAGGTAAATCCCATTATAGACAAAGCGTTTATGTAATGGAGAATCTCGACGTTTCTCTGTTTACAAGAGTCGAATCAATTCTCGGGTTAAATCCTTTTTTCCGGTCGGTAAAAGCGGGATGAACAATGCGAGGTGCCGTGTTCCACAAACATGTATGGTTGCCAAAAATGTATTTACGTGTAAGCCTACCAAGACGCGACAGCATTAACTGTTGACCTCCAATCATGTTTGTGGGTCACTGGAAAAAATCCACAGTAATTCCTTGCAATTTCCATAAATAGATAGAAATTGTATGTGAAGTTAGTTTTCAAAGCAAGATGTATCGATTTTTCTGTTCACGTATAACATGGAAATACACAATTATCACGGATAATCGATACAATTGATCATCGGATTTCTTTTCCAGTGGGTTGGATTTTGGCATTGTCCACTGTTATTTCCATCAGACGGGAAGAACGTGGGCGTTTGTGAAACATTCTTCATTTACAACGGATGTTTCCCAAGTTCAATCCTAGCTATAGTTAACATGTAGTTAACAGCTGTTAGGAAACTTCCACAAGATTGTTATACACGAATTATAGGATGCACTAAATCTACTATTTAACGTTGTTTTTAATCCATATTCTTTAGGTCAATGGAAGTTCTGTTGGAATGGAATCAGAGAGAGGACACAGCAAATTTTATTAAAGTAAGTCCCATCAACCACCATACGACATTCATCTCTTGTGTACATAGATTTGCATCAGTGGAAAAAAACATTAACTGAATGCAAATATTCTTCAGAAACAACAAGAATCGCTTGGTCACACACTTCCGTTGTGCTCCTTCCTGTTAAAACCGGTGCAAAGAATTTTAAAGTACCATCTTCTTCTCGGGGTTTGTAACGAATTTTATACGTACAATCCCAGTCCTCGCTCAGCTTAGCCACTGATCTATGTGAAAGCCCGTAGTGTTTCTATATTTATTTTATTTAAAGCGCCTGGGAACGAGGCTGCGTACAATCCAGTGTGGTTTAAACTATTTAGAACTTTAAATAATGAAAAAAAAACAAGAACATGACTCATTCTTTATCAGTCAACAAACGTTTGCTGATGTCAGCTTAAACGTGCAGTCAACTTGATACCTTGAACGTCATACTTGTCATTAAGAAATGATGCAAACTGTTTACATAACATGATTATGTAATCATCGCATTACTGTAATGCATTATCGACTGTACAAAAATAATCGATTAACTCTCGGATTAGCTGTTGGTTTAATCATGGTCGCTGTTCCCTAATTTCTTCGCAATTTTTGGGTTTCAGAATATTGCCAAACATTACAAACAGTCCGAAGATGAAGGAGGCTACAAAATCATTCAGGTAATGTAAAGACAACATTCGCCAATGAAAACTGAGGCTTGGCCACCATGCTGTTTGAAAAAGCGCATTTTCTGAAATCAAACTTCAATTTGTTTTAGAGCCATATCAATGATGAAACTCAACTGAGTAATCCTAAATTTCTTTTGCCTTCTTTTAGAAAGCGTTATCTGCCATGACAAATGTCGCCAAACACATCAATGACATGAAGAGAAAGCACGAGGATGCTCTACACTTGCAGGTAAGTTCGTATCTTAGACATCGTTTTATAAAACGCCATGGTAAGTATAGTTGGTACCATGAAGTCGTAATTGTCGTGTGAACATGTCAACGTGGCTGATGTGATAAAGTAATTCTATTTGTGTGCAGTCAACAATGACCGATTTGAATACAGAAATCAACACAAATTTACAACCGGACTATTTCTCATCGGTGAAAATGAGTCGTTCACGTGCACACAACAATTATGATTAAATGGAAACCGAATCATTTAAGACAGCGATTTTGTAACCACCAGTACATAAATACTATTGTGTTCACTTTTTAAGGAAATACAAAGTGTTTTAATGGACTACGAGGTACGGAAATAATATTTGCGTTTGAAAATTCTATATTAAACATGTTCTTATAGCAAATAGGCAGGCAGCCAGCCAGCAAGGTTTAATTACATGTGATTGTTTTTTTCTCGCGATGAATTCATTTGACTTCTCTCTGATTCCAGGGTCCTAATCTTACCTCATTTGGAAGTATTGTTCTTGAGGTGAGTTTTCACAACCAAGGATACTAAGGGGAGAATAAAAAAATAAAAATTATAATCCAGCTAAATGTACAACCAACCGAAGGAAAGAAATTAGAACTATGAAAGCAATCTTCAACCTTAATTGATAACTGACGATGGCTCAGAAATTCAAAACAGGCGAACATTTGGAATTTTATGCACGCAAGCAAACATATGGGAAAGCTTAATTGCATTTTGTTTCATTTCATGTGATTTAGCCACTGATCAGCGGATTCTGAGCGTTTAGCATGGATTTGTTAACTTATTTGTAATCTTTTTTAAGGAAAAAAGGATTTACAACTTTGCGTGCGTGCGTGCATGCGTGCGTGCGTGCGGAAAGCTGGAAAACAGCCAGTTAATATTCTAACCCATATCAATTTTTCGTTTAAGGACACTTTCCGTATTCATGGAACAAAAACGGGAAGATATTTGCTTTTGTTTGAAAAAGCTTTACTTATTACGAAGAGAAGAAGCGATGGAACGTTTTCTTGGAAAGCGACAGTAATGGTAAGAGTTGAAGTCCTAATGTGGAATTTACAGGATCGAATATCGACGATTTTCTAAAAGAAAGTTGTAATTTCTTCCCCAAATCTCTCACAATTGTTTGTGCAAAATTGCAGTTCTCTTGCGGGATTCGTGGTAGTTAAATGAAATTTTCTTTCCAAAATTCAGCACACTGTTCCACTAAACACTACTCTTTCCTTTCCTTTTTGTAGTATTCCAACATGATGTTGGCAGACTCAGTATTTAGAGAACCGCTGACGTTTCAAGTCATACCGTTCGACGATCGTAAAATCTGCTACACTTTTGTGGTAAGTATATAATCAATACACCTTTCCCCTTTTAGCTGTCAAGCGCGCAATGCGTGGCGGTAGTTGATTATCAAGATCAATTTGAGTTGTGATTTTGCCATGTTTAGGGGCGATTTTGTTTAACAAAGAAGCAAAGAGAACCGGCAAGGTTTTCTTACAAACAAAATCGCTTCTAAGCAGAGCGATATCGCAACTCAAAGTTGCTTGATAATCAACTACCATCACGCATTGCGAGCTTGAAAGCTAAAAGAGGAAATGTCTATGACTCAAGTAAACAACGTTTAATCATGAGTAAATACTGGACAATGGACGCTTTTTCATTCTCCCAGTCGAGAGACTTGGATACAAAACAGGTTTGGTTGCTGGAACTTAAGAGACGTTTATTGGACAGCTACGCCGCTGCAGTTCCAATGAAGGTATGAGAATTAATATATTTTTCTTGTCATCCACAGATCTAAAGCTAATGAATAGTGCGCCTTCTTAGATTTAATGAACTCGTTTTGAAGTCAAAATATTTATAATGAGGTGTCAGACATTCTTGCAACCTAGAATTAGTGGATTAATAAATAAATAAGACAAACATTGCTTTAGGCAGAGCTTTGATTTCTTTAAAACAAAGGAAAAGATGGTTATGTCAGTAAAATGTTGCCTATTTATTCAGTAATCTACCAAACTTTTTCAGTACGTGAAATTCCTCACAAATCGAGTCGTTAGGCTTTTATATAACCTTTATATACAATCAAATTTCTTTGGTTATACATGGCTGAAGAGATAGAGCTTCCCGTATCGTTTCAACAATTTTAAAACATGTTTTCATCGGGCCTCATGAAAAACACTCATAACGAAAAACAAGATTAACGTATGCGCCTGCTGCAGTCGGCTGAATGAAAAACACGGCGGGAAACTGGGCCCGATCGGCCTTCGTTAACACACACAATTTCTCTCTAGGCGAAACAAATTATTCTCGGAAACGGTAGAGAGGAAAACGAGAAAGAAAATACTGGTATGATAGCTCAGATTGTTAAAAAGAGAAATACTTCATGTAAAGGAGTGAATATAACGCCAAGTGAGGCACCTATCCTACAATATTAAATGTACATAACATATCAAGTAAAAGATAAATACAATTACATATCTATTATTCAATCGTGCAAATTTTTTTGTTAAATAAAATAAAAAGGTTAAAAATATTCCCTCAGATAGATCGGCCTTCTTTGCACAGGAGATAACCAACTAATTATACGGATCTACCTGATATATCCAATTACTATCTAATTATAAGTTGATCAGTAATTAAAGTAATTACTAATGTCATGCTAACCACCAAAAATTAATCTATATATATAATACTACTAATCCTAAACTTTAATTATTAATTTTACACTAATCACTAATTAACCGCAAAATAGGGCAAACCACTAATTTATTTATTTATACTATTTGGGAAGCTAGTCTAATGAAGCTAGTCTAATGAAACTAGTTACTAATTATGAAAAGGCAATCGCGTATTATCTAACTCATCTAAGTCAGTTAGTAAGGCAGTCAAACATTAGTACTAATGAAGCCATATATTGATTATGTTAAGTTAATTTAATTATGCACCAATTATGCACCTAACTACAAATACTAATTAATAAGCCAATCATGCTAAAGGCAAACGTTTGTCGTCCAAATAAGGAATAAACTAATTAGCACTGGGATATAGAAAGTTGCAACATTTCGGCCGAGTAGTTTTATAACCGCAAAAAATTCCCGGAAAGACCCTTCGTTACCACGGCACCAAAAAAGGCACTGCACAGAAATCTCCAGCCGCACCTATATGTAACAAAACTTTATCATTGCCTTCATTATTTCAACCATCAGAACCTGAAAGTGTGCGACGTTCGGCCACCAGGAGAGGCGAAAACCAGCAACGACAACTAGGCAAAGGTAAATATTTGACGTAGCCAAAACATACACGATAGCAAGCCTCTAAGTTAACATCTCAAAAGATCCTCGCACACAATATTGCTGATGTAATTGGCACAATATGTCTCAACCAATGCAAGATATTTCCTTGAAATTAACCGGCAACACTAGAGGATTATGCAACTTATAGATGAGACAGTATATATGAACTAGCCAACAGCGATGAACTAGATCTATATTCGAAGATAAAAGTATAGCCTTTTCAATGGCCTTACAATATAGAGGATTTTAACATCATGAATTTTCATCTCACATGATACCTTGACTGAATGATTGCTCATATCGAAAGATGGGGCATCAATTTGAAACTGAAAATGAACGAAAAACAAGCTAGCGACAGCTGACAAATGACTTAAATTGAGCTGCAAAGTTGCAACATACAACCGCTAACTGACAAGCGCGGTGGCTTGGAGGCGATTTCGTGGAAGCGTGTAATGATTAATGACGTCCGAAAGGCGATTAAGACTTTGACACAAATAGTGCAGGCGCATAATTTCCAGCTAATTTCTAGCACTGAACAACACGAAGGTCATTCAAGGTGCCTTGTTTTTTGGAACGCATAGAAAGTTCGAAATGAAAGTTGCACTTAGTTCTGATATCCAAAAGGCGGACACGGTAAAACTTAGTTTTGAAGTTTTTTGAAGTTGTGATAAGACAGAAGTGACCCAAATCAGACCAGTCTTCCAGCTTGATCTTGCCTTCAGAACATACAAGATATGAAATGCGAGCCAGCTTTATTACATGGATTTGGAACACTGCAATCAATAAAAATACAGACCAAACCGTTTCAACGTCACAATCTGATTATTACAAGACATAGCACTCCTATAGTTTAAGTGCACTTAATCAAAACAATTTCACAACAAGGATTTTCTACATATATCATGCACAGCAGCATGTTTTTACACTCGAAGATTTTTAATTAAAATGTTGCTTTTATTGTTGTGACTAACAGACTGATACTGTCATTAAGGTGCGATGCATTTTGGCTGGATAAACGCCAAAAAAGGTTTGAAACAATGCATCTGCATGTTTGCTAATGTCACGTCAAGAGATAGGACGGAATTAAGCTTTGTCTACTAAAAATACACCTATTATTAGACGCTTAAAACGTCGGCTGGAGTGATGCACCTTCGGTGATGATATTCAAACAATATGGCGATTCAAACATCGCTGTTGATTGATTTGAAGAAAACGGGACACACATGACGCAGGTCGCAGAATGTTGAATATCGCATAAGTTTAGTCAAAAAACACGAACAAAACCTTCAAAAGTATGTTATTTGAGCGTCCAAACCAACAGTCTCTCTTAATCTCCTATTAAGACCACGAGAGTTGGGTTTATCCGTTATACAAGCATCGTTGAAGGCAAATTAATACACGATGCCGAAGGGTTTAAGTGATTTTGACCCTTAGCGGCTTATGGCCTTTGATAAGCCCCTAAAAGCAACTTCATAAGTGTTAAATAACCAACAAGCTGTCTTCTGAAATGCGTGAAAAAATGACTGAGTCAAAGTCCTTCAACTTTCGTCCGAAATCAACAACAACATCAACGATTTTTAGTGTTTTCGTGAGAGTAGTTTTCACCTTTCTGACACAACTCACAACAGCTTTTTACCTAGAAGACAGCAAGAACAAGAAAGTCCTCACATGTCTTATATGTCAAATGTTTTTTCCATATCAGAAAACTCCAGTCAATCAAGTAAGCTTAACAAGAACCTCGATTCGGATCGTCGCAAATCCAAAGAACCAGAAGACACATCAGAGGAAAAAACGGTATAAATCCTAAATCCATTTACACTATTTATTTTCAGGTATAAATGAAGTACATCATGCAAATGTTGTATAAATGTGGCCATACTAACTCTCCTGGGGCCGGTTTCATACTAACTCTCCTGGGGCCGGTTGTATCAAGCCCGTTTAGCTTAAACGGTTGATAAGTCAAAATTAAATAACACTCCTACAGTCTCTCTTGAGTGAGTCAACTTGAATATTATGCACTGAATATGTAGTTGTAAACAGTGTCTTTGTATTAAGGTTAAAAACATTTAGTTTGCTCGTTGAATAAAACGATAGACTTGATTTCTATTTTGAACTTAACCACCGTTTAAGCTAAACGAGCTTGATACAACCGGCCCCTGATGAAGGCCCTCAGGTCGAAACGTCGAGAAGTGTTTTGTCTATTTTAGGCAGTTGTTATACCACATTTGATGCTAAGTTGTTTGAAGACGTTGCCATGCATGCAGGCTGCTCCCTGGTTATAAATGACGAGCATTTAATAATCATTTATATAGATTGCGAAACTTCTGTTGCTAAACTAACGATAAGGTTATCTTGTCGGCCCTAAATTATCATTCAATTGATATTTTTAGTATATACAAATTCTGTCAATCCCATGCATGAGAAATTTCGTTAATAAACAAGGTTAAACTTCGAGTTAAACATTACTTTCTTCATTTTTTAAACATTTTTATATTTCTAGCAAGTGCATTCGGCATCATTAATCGTTAGAAGTTCCATATCATTGCGTTTAAATATCAAATTGGCCTGTTTTTAGAAAACCTCAATTGATGCAATAAAAAGCCCACTGCGAAGAAAACTACGAGTTTTCAAGAAAAGGAAAATCAATAAGCTATCGGGAAAGTCGTCGAAGAGAGTGAGTTGGTCATCTGATGATAACAACGACGAAGCTTACAAGGATCGGTTGACCGTAAATAAACAGAGTGAAGATCAGGTACGAATGAATTTCCAGGAAAACTTCCACAGGCCGAGTTAAAGAGCTTGTCCGAAATAACGAATCTGCGTGGTGTAGATGAAATGTTTGACAAATAGATTTGATTGAGTTTCTATTTGTATTCAGGAAAGGAAAGTAAGCGACAATGAACCGTATGAGGAAAATGCTGAGGAAGAAAAAGACATTGGTAAAAAGGTATGAAGAATGACATAAGTTCCTATCTATTTGCAATGTTTGTAGCTAACTATAACATATAATTATTGTTTTGGGAATCGGAAAGAGATACAGATACCAGAACTTTGAAAGTGCAGGACTTCAAAAAACGCATATCATATAATACTTTGAAAGCTTCCTCGCCGTTTTGAAATTAGTTCAAACACTCAAAATGAATTAGTTCAAACACTCAAAATTTGCGACACCCCTTATTTACTCCAGAGATATCTAAGCTTGCGTGCACTTAAACTATGCCGCCTGTGGCTCGAATGATTGAACCATCAAAAAGTCTTAATCCGATTTTTAATCAGTCTTCCAAATATTTGGCTTATTTTCAATATTATACATCTCTGCTCAGTTGCAATTTCCCTTTTAATATCCGGTGTTTTTTCTTTTGTGTCTGGCTACAGAAATTCATGCCAACATAATATCCGGTTTCTCTGACAGCGAGAAAGCTCATGAAAAGAGAATCTATTCAACAAAGATTTGTTCCATTTCCTTTGAAAACGAGCCAATGCGGATTCCAAATAGGAAAAATCTGATTAGGGTCGGTGCTATTTGACAATACTCCATATGCATGGCTGACAAAACATGTTATCTGGGATGTTGCAAATGAAAACTTGTAGCACAGAGGCTGGTTGTATCAAGCCCGTTTAGCTTAAACCGTGGATAAGTCAAAATTAAATAACACTCTTACAACTCTCTGAAATGAATCAACTTAAATATTATGCACTGAATATATAGTTGTAAACAGTATCTTTGTATTAAGGTCCAAAACATTTAGTTCGCTTGTTGAATAAAACGATAGACTTGCTTTCTATTTTGAACTTATCCACTGTTTAAGCTAAACAGGCTTGATTCAACCGGCCCCAGGTCGCTGCGGGGCAAAAACAACATCTTGTAAACTCAATATATGTATGCTTTTTATATAACAAGACACGACTATATTTCAGACATTCTCAATTAAATCACTCTCAATTAATTCTAAGTTGTTTTCCCGTTTTATATAACTCATATTTTAAGTTTACAAGATTTTGTTTTTCGGAGCATGTTTTTTATATTTATCAAATTGTTTCCAGGTAAAAGTTCGAGTCTTCATATTTTAGGCATAACAAATATATGAAATGTGTCTCTACAATATAATCTAGTCTGTAAACTTACTTAATGTTGACGAAAACCCGAAAACACTTTTTTCATTTAATCATTTTCTTTTACAGTATCTCGACAAAAACGACAACGAAGTTTCGATTTCATCTCTTCTCCGGGAGGGTGAAACCATGCTCTCGGTTACTGGCGAAGTTGATAACCATTTATCGGGTCACGTCAAACTACGGTCCAGCCAGGAAGATGTACGGGCATCGAAAAAGCGTAGGCTCTCTAAAGAGAAGAGGGAAAAATGTAAATCGATGCCTGTTGGACAGTTTCCCGTAATTCTCGAAGGCTGTCCGACGCCTAATATCGACAAAAACGAGACGGGTTTAACTCGCACGCACAGTCTATCTCGCTTATACGAGAAATTCCTAGAAAACGAGCTCATCGATTCCCCCACGGACATAAAGGAGCTTCAGAAATACGGTTTGGTAAACTTGGCAGATAAGACGACCAAGACAAGTCGATCAGGCTCCTACCAAGAAGAGCTTCTCTCCGAGGAAGGAGTCATTCATGGAAGCTGTGACGTAGTCCAGACGGAAAACCTCATTCCTAAAACCGGAGAAAGCGTTCAACAAACTATGAAACGCGTAAGCATGGCCTTTTCCGATATTTCGCCGAATTTTAGTCCGGAGAAGTCACCAGAAAGCAGCACGGAGGATGTCACGTGCGACGATGTAACTGAAGATTTGACGACCGGGGATTTGACCACGGAGGATTTCACCACCGGCGATTTGACCCCGGATGAATACACCGGCGGAGATTCGACGCCGGAAGACTTGACGCCCGACGAATACGCTGCCGGGGATTTGAGCCCTGCTGAATGCGGTACTGGCAGTCCAATACCGGATGAATTGTTCAATACAGGGGATATGCCCCTCGGGGAATCGAATGCCGGTGAGGCTGCACCACAAACAGCGTCTTGTGGCGAAAATAACGGTTTTGTTACGGACAAAAAAGTGCTTTCGGGATATGACGAATACAAAACAGGGAATGGCGTCAACACGGACTGGAACCAAAATGGGACAACTGATGACCAAGATACGATGTACGACGAACAGAGTAATCAGGATACGTTTAGCGCCATTTATAGCGAACAAAGCAGCTACGTTGATACCCTATCGGATAGTTCTGGCGACGAACAAGACGACGAATCATGGAATAACAGCCTGGACGGATCGTACCAACGTGTCTTCCGCCTTAAACGATCGTACAGCGAGGAAAATCTTATCAGTAAATACCCTTTCGATGAAGCAAGTTCCGAGACAGGTGCCGAACCGGAAGTGACGTCAAAAAGTTACCCACACTTTGATCACGCGTCCAGCACGCATCATACACCTGTCATGCGCTGTAAAAGCGCAGACTACTCGAAGAGACCTCAGACACGCCCGTTTACGTTTTCCGTCACGCCGAAGAAAAAGATCTTCATAAAGGATTCCCTTTGGCAGACTATCAAGGAGGATGCGGAGAAAAACGACCACGAAATATTTGTCGCAAGCGATCACAACACGTTACGACGTCGGAGAAGGCGGAAATCCTCGCACAAGAAAAATAAAAAGAATAAAATACATTCAGACGAAGGTCCCAAACAAGATACGCAGCAGCATATCGTCCGGACATGTGCTGTTCTGAACATGGCCGATTATAGAAATCCGAGAAATAAAGAAAGCGATAAATCTAGGAACTCGGGAGACGCAAAACCCCCAAGGACGAAAACAGGGGGGGATGGAAAAAATATCTTCGTGTCGGATACCGAAGAAAATGTGAAAAATGGTAAGAATATGGAAGGAAATGGCTTGAATAATGTAGCTTCTTCATCGACGGAGACAGAAGACCGCAATTCCGATGGCAACGACGCTCACAAAGTTTCCAATAACGACTCACGTGCGAAAATAACCCTTGACTCGCGAAAAAAGACCTCCAAGGGGGAGAGGGAAAAAAGCATGGTCCATGTTGACGACAATATGTCGGAAATACCGGCAACTATCAACTATTTATGCATCGAGGCGTTCCCTCCCGACCATTCGGCGAGTGCCGACGAAGCGCCGGAGACAGGCACACGTGATGTGAAACGAACCAATGGGAACACCGCATCGAGCGTATCGAAAGTCGAGAGATTATCAAAGTACTTCAGCGAAGTTAACGTTGAGAAGGACACTGGAAAATACGTGAACAAACAAGCGGATATTTTGCGTAAAGGTTCAAGCAGTATTAAGAAACGAGTAGAGGAGCTCACAAGACGTGAAAGTGAATTTCAAAGGAAAAACTCCGAGGAGAAGTTGTTCCTCGGCAACGAATTACATTCGCTGCAAAATATCCACGATAGAATTGGCGTGTTGAAGCTTTCGACGTCGGAGGAAAATCAACCAAGTAGTAAATCAAGAATTGAACTAACCAGCTCGCTGAACCACGACAAGCCCAATGTGCAACAGCTTCGAGACAAAATTCAGGACATCGATTCGAATCCAGCGCAGAATTCAAGTGAAAACGCAAACGGTAAAAGGGCCTCCACGTCGCTACGTATCCGCGATCGAATTCAGGAGCTCGGGCAAAACCCCGATAAGCCAAAAGCGGACAAAAATGTCGACGACGATTTACGGACATGCAAGCGACTAAAGGAGCGTATTGAACGGCTTCAAAAGGGCGCGAGACGAGACTCGGTCGACAACGAACGGGACATTACGATCAGTGACGATAAAGAAATGAGCTATTCACCTCGACAGAACGAAGAGCTACGAACAGTCGTAATAAAGCGAGGCTGGGTACAGCAATTTATACAAAGAATCGAGACAGGTTCGTAGTATTTACGGTCTAGAATGTACGAGTATCTAAAATTTCTATAATATTCAAAATTAACTACCCTGTACACAGACGTAGTTTATTGTACTGACTAATATACAATCTGTGCACAGGCTAAAATTTTCATCAAAATAAATATAACATAACATAAAGTATCGATCCTCTAGCGTGTTTATTCCATTCAGGGGGGGGGGTGCTCTAAACTCTGCGTGAGCCGTTGAGCGTAGGCAGAAAAGCCTGCCTTGAACGCCACCAGGGCGCCAACGAACTCAATAAACACTGGAACGACAACTGCCCAGTTGAAAGCTTAAAGAACGATTGAATTATTGGCAACGGTAATGGACGACTTGCGCTTTAGACTAATTTCCTACCTTGGCAATAAAAAGGACATTTTCTGAAAGAGCTTACTAAAATTAGTTATACTGCCAAGTTTGACAGCCAAATTTTGTAAAATACGGGAAATATAGCCATGCGAAGTTGTCGATTTTTGTATACTTTTGTATTACGACCGGAAGTTTGTAACTAAATTAGTTACACATTTCTGGCCGTAATACAAAAGTATACAAAATTTGCTAACTTCGCATGGCTATATTTTCCGTATTTTACAAAATTTCGCAGCCAAACTTGGCAGTTTTACTAATTTAAGTAAGATCTTTCTAGCTGGGGTGATTTATTTTCCTCTAGTTACTTCCATCAAAAGTAAGTCTAAAGCGCAAGTCGTCCATTGAAGGTCATATGTTGTCAATGCTCCATTTTATGATGGAGAATCATAGTTGTTATCAAGTTGCAGCAAACTTGCAACAAAATCTGATTTCAACGCATGTTAATTAAAAATGTTGGCCATTGTCATCGCGAATTACGAATATTACAATCCTTGTTTAGTATTTTCAAAATTGAAGTTGAAATCAGATTTTGTTTGATTGATTGATTGCCGGATTAATTGACGTTTATTTTATTAGAACTCAATCGCATTTCAAGCAGTTAAAATATCAAGTTATTTACAAAGTTAAAAGTAGTCTAATATATCTTAATTCAAATTAAAAATATTCAACAACGGTGAAAGTTGCTGTTAAAATAACCAAATTACTTTTTTGACCTAAGTGCCGCCTAAAGAAAGATAATACTACAATAGCAACATATGCGGTACAACAAAAAGACCTCGCGTTCGGTTAATAAGAAGTAATGGAGCAGGAAAAGAGAACAAGATCTTTTCAATTTTAAACAATGTACTAATCATGTTTAACTAATCAGAACAAATATATGTACGCTTAGCGTACCTATTTTTGTTGCATGTGTTTTGCGCCATTCTAGTGCCCAGGTTTTTCGAGTGCGGCGTCAAGGAACGAGGATGGTTCTGGCCAACACTGCGGGTTTTGATAGTTTTTGATAGTTTTGATAGCTATAGTGAAAGATAGTTATAATTAGCTAATTTGATACCAGGCCTTGCGCGACATTGCAGATGACACGACGGCACTTCAGAGTGAGTTAAGATTTTGTCTTGCAATGGTCGTGGACTTGTGGTGCACTAATCGCAAATTAAACTTCAACTTGTAACGCAGTTTTTATGATGTTTAAATAGATGTTTTTATCTAAATTTTAAAAAAGATTTATGTTCATCAAGTGTGTGCTATTTTCAAGGTATAGATACTGCAGTATCGCTCTTTTATTTTACCATGACACGTCGAACATTGTTGAACACAAAAGCGGTCAAGCAACACTAACACGGCACAGCTATTGAACCATAATTACAGGCTATTATGGCTATCATAAGCTATAAAGAGTTATAAATATAAGCCAAGTATTTAGAATAAACGCAAATTCAAAATACGATGTGTTGTCTGAATATCTATCTAAGGCCTAGGTTATACCTGGCGTTTTGGTTGCGTCGAATGCAATTCAAACAATGTACACCCTCAGCTTCATTATCATCTAAACCTAGGCCTAACAACATAAAAGGTGATGAACATGAACTAAGTTTTTTATCTGAAAATTAAAACATGCGAAATCAATGGCAATTTTTACATCAGAGCCAGAGGCCCTCGCGCATTGTTACGGACAAAACCTAGCCTCCTAACCAAAGCCAAATATAAATGCCTAATATAAATACATAAGAGATGCCTGCGGAGGAGGCTAGGCAGAATTGATACCGTAGAACGATTCAATAGTGAAACGCGGATGCAACATTTTCTGCAAAATCGATGAAATAATTTCTTTGAAATGCATCCACGAATATCTTCGTCAATTTATTGAACTGATCGGATTGTACTGGCGATCGAAACTTGATATTAAATAAAATTCGTCAGGACTGGCACGCTAGCCAAGAAACAGGAGTGAACGCATCGACAGGCGTCTTGTTTTCATTTTGAAGCGGAACTGCGGAATAAATTTTTCCAGACACCGGCATAGAATTACTAATTGGTCATACTATACTGCGCCTAGTCCTATCAAAGAAGCTCTAGCCGGAGGACCCATATGTATGAAATTATCCTTGGGTATACATCAGCCCTGGTATATTTGATTGACAACCAGGCCCAAGATGTTTGAGGTGGAGTACAAATTTAAGATTCCAGCGAATTTTGAAAGCATTTTACGCGAGCATGGATGGGCATTCTTGAATGAAATTCATTTTGTGGATACGTATTTCGACTCGGAACTGTATCGACTCACGTTGAACGAACATTGGCTCAGGAGACGAGATACGAAATGGCAGTTAAAGTACTGTACCTCTCCCGGCAACGGCACGGACTCTGTTAGGATTGACAAGTTCAATGAAGTATCGGATGAAAGTGAGATCCACACTCGGCTAGCTTCGCTTTTGAACGTTGACGAAAAATCTTTGCCTTTGGACAGCAAAGTGACCAGTGATGTTGTTAAAGCGCTTGGCCTCAAACCCATCGCGGAATTCGAAACCTTTCGAGGTAAATACAAGCTGGGCGCATTTACAATCGATTTGGACAGGACGAATTTTGGCTACGAACTGGGAGAAATCGAGCTGACGTGCGAAAAACAAAGCGAAATGGAGTCGGCGGCATCGAAAATTTACGACATGGCGAATAAACTAGGTGAGTTTCGTGTGATACATATGCATCGCTAATTTCAAAGGCGCCGTGTGGTTTTGATCAACTATTAACTGTGGATCAACAAACTAATAAGTTATGACCACTCAGGTCCGCAATTAATGTTGAAGTTCAGCGTGTGTTAGCGTCGATAAAACAACATAAAAAGCGCGGGATTTTCGATTTTAAAAGCTGAACGCATAGAAAACAATAGATAATTAATGACTTATACTGTGTTACATCCATTTTTGTTGCAAAGTTACACTTGAACGGCACGATTGAATTTATATAGTTTTAAAAGAGGGTCGTTTCTAAAGTCAAACACGCTGTCACAAGCAAATCACAACAGATGTCATTTTCATTCATAGGATTAAAGATGGATTTAAAATAACCTTTAATTAAGATTTTGCATTGTGATTTAGTGTCACTGATTTACCACGCACCGACTTAGCAAGAACCGAACTGTTACTCTGTTAGTAGACTTGTTTCGCCTAATTTTGAACTTATAGTTATAGGAACAAGCTTAATCGAACTCCGTACAGACGACGGACAAACTCGTCTTTCATGAAAATAAGTCTCAAAATAAATATGACAAAAGCTCAGATTAGCGATGCTAGAACTACCACTAATCGTTGACATATTAAAATACCCTTTGCCGAAACAGTGCGAATTTTCGATTTTCTGAAGGTTAAATCACGGAGGTTAAATCAATTCCTGCAGGAAAATTTTGCAGTAAAGAGAAAAAGAATGAAATGTTGTTTCTTGAAATATCCATTTATTATAATATCCAGAAATATCCGTTTATTTCTGGCTGTGGTTAACTATGGGTGGTGCATTTTATGTACTTTATGTATTAAAATCTGAACAGGCTGTGTGGCCTGTCCATTCCTGTCCAGTGTCCAGCCAAAATGTAAATATTTCTCAATCTAGTTGTTTGCATTTCAAAGTTCTCCTGAAGAATGCTGGACACATGTGTGTTATTTCATTAGTGTTGTAGCTGTATCGATGAGTTCAGCATCACTCTTGATTTCCACATTTACATCAGTTTGGAGGGCCTGCACTGCACAGGTTATGATTTACAGTTACAAATGTGAATAATGATCTGCACATCACATCAAATTGAATTGTTTAGTTTTTCACACCAGGCCCAAAAGGGAATTTCTGCTCATATCAAAAGGCATAACTTATCCATCCAAACAGATGGATATACCTATCGTCCTATGACTCCTATCCCATATGCGATCAGGCATCTCCTCTGGCAGAGATGATGCTCCATACTCCTTGATTAGGCTCACTCCCTCAAAGACAGAGTCCTGGCTATGCCCTTGTTCATATCTTCACACACACACAAGCTTTCTCTCTAATTAAGAGCCTTGCTCTTGTGTCACTGATGTGCTATTCCAATTAATATTGCAGCCCCCCCCCCCCGTTTCTACTGAGTCTGAGGAATTTGAAGGTCGCTTGCAAAATATAATCTGCATATGAAATATTTTAAACAGTTTAACTTGTATTTCTTAGAGTTTGACGTAAGTTTCATCAGAATTTTTACACGTAGGCAATAAACTATTGCATCCGATTGAAAGGGGTTTTCGGTTCGACAATAGATGAGAAATATTCCGGCAAAAATATCAGTAATTTCGACAGGTCAATCGGACATTATTTTGCGAAATTATATGCCATAGAAACAACAAACTATATTAAAATATAAAGCAAATAGTTTATCTTACCTTCATGTTGAATTCGCCCGCTAACCTCTTAAAATTTAGTACAAATTTGAGAGAACCGTCATTCGCACGTGGAACAGTAATTAAATCATTTTTCATTTAACCTACTTCCCCCCTCCTGACGATAATTAGTTTCGTTATAATTCCGGGAGGACTACATCAATTTTCAGCAGGATTTACAAACGAAGTGGCCGTGATTTTTCATTTTCAAATTTTAAAATAAACGAATATGTTGGAAGTCGAAAAGAAATTCGAAGTTCCCACGGACTTCAGAAGTGTTTTGATTGAGCAAGGATGGAAATATTTAAAACAAATTCATTTGAAAGACACGTATTTTGACTCGGAAAACTATGAACTTATGAAAAGTGATCACTGGCTCAGGCAAAGAGACGGGAAAATGCAGCTAAAATGCCCTGCTTCCTTAGAAAGCGAACGCGATTCTATTAAAATCGATCAGTACCTAGAAATTGAAGATGAATTAGAGATTATTGATCGATTGGGATTCGTTTTAAAGGCTGAGAACTGTGGGATTGGTTAAAGGAACAACAAGTGTGTTGAAATGCTAAGTTGAAGCCAATAGCAAAATTCGAGAGTTTCAGGATAAACAAGTTGGATTCGTTCACAATTGATTTGGATAGAACGGATTTCGACTATGAACTTGGGGAAATTGAGGTTATGTGTGAGGGAATGAGTAACATGGAAGAGGCAAAAGCAGCCATTTGTGATGTAGCAGAGAAACTGGGTGAGCATGCTGGGTGTGGCTTAATTACCCTTGTTGTAAAGGGTGTGGCAATGGGGAGGGGGGTTCACAAATTGTATGAGGTTGGATCAATTCTCTGAAAGCAAAGCTAAACTGTGCCTGTTAACAGCCAAAATGCCCCATTTTGCATGTAAAACTCATCTTTATTTCAATCTAATGGAGTCATTAACTCTGGCTTGTGCCAGATGATTTAGTGTTATAATATGTGAGTATTGCCCATCATATTCAGTAATCAAACTCTACAGGTAAATCCAAGGATTAAATAGCCCGATTATAACAGCATTTGCTTTTAACTAGGTTGAATGCACAAAAATGTGACTGGAAAAGTTGGTACATACCTCAAGTTGAAGAACAGACCACTTTATGATGAATTAATTGCAAGAAGAATACTTGTTCCTGAAACTCTTGATATTGCCTCAATCTCATTCCTAGTACGCCACAGTAAACCCAATAACTAAATATTATTAAACTATAAAATTTTATTGCTCGTTGTTATGTAATTCTTATGCAAAAGATGTTTGATATTTAACTTGAGGGACAATTTAGTTCAGTTTTGGATAATTCTGTCTTTGTGTGAATGTTTTAAGGAGAATCACATGGGTAGGGAAGTATCCTGGGTTAGGGAACTGTTTTCTATGGCTCCCAAATGAATGGACCGAGTCCAATAGTAAAAAGAATTTCGATACATCCCTCCAGTGGCAGTGTGTATTATGAGTCCACCCCTAACTCTGATCTTTTAACACTGAATAGCTCAATTTGATCCGACGTTTGCATATTGGCAGTTGTGTCGCTAAGTTTTTCTAACTTCCTAAGTTTATTTTGACTCACGCTACATTCGTTGATCGTAAAATCGTAGATTTACTGGCAATTACTGCGAAAACTGAACGCTGAACCATTTTTGTGTACGCAATTCTATAAATGATATTTTAATTTCAGAGTTCGGTCCAGTCCCTACTATATAAACACAGAGAAACCAATTTGTCGAAATTTAGTATTGATCGCTCCAGTTACAACACCGACATCGGAAGCTGGCTTGCTGATTTGACATTTTGGCTCCCAGCACCATGGTCAGAAGATGAACTGCATCTGCATGGTACATAGATCAAATAAATCACAGTATGATAACTTTACGAAAAGATAGAACCGGCCATTTATGTCAAAGCCATTCTGAAATGAACGAATTGTGTACCGTTGTCAGCAGGACAGCCGTGAGAAAACCAGATAATCAAGGCTAGTTACTCTAGTCAGTGACTGGAACACGGAATGACTGAAAACAAGAAACTGGTAATTATCACAAACGATGATCTGAAAGACAAAAGGACTGGAATGCATTCTCGGTTGGATATTTTGCTTTATGCTTTATCTTTTAATAATCAAAACCGCCAGCTAATTAAGTATTCTGTGAAGGGCTTGAGTTTACTAAAATCGAAGGTTTATCTGTTGGCGTGCGAAGGAAAGTTGAAAGTTTTTTAAAGTGTTTTCAAAATGTCTTCGTTAAACGACCGTGAAGTAACCGCTTTAAAAGATGCTATTGATCTCTATGATACAGTAGGAGACGGGAAAGTCGATTCCATGGCTTTGGCAGACATACTACGAGGCATCGGTGAAAATCCTACCGAAAGCGACGTTCAAAAGTTCCTGAAGCAAGTCGATCCGGTCGGGAACAAGAGAATCGCTTTGGAGGATTTAATACCGATCGCCCTATCGTGCAAGCAGAAGTCGAGGAACGTCCAGCCTCAAGAGTTCGTGGATTGCTTGAGAGTATTTGACAAGGATTGCTCGGGCAATATCAGCAGCGCTGAGCTTCGCCAAGTTTTGACGACGCTTGGGGATAAATTAACAACAGAAGACGTCGACACGCTCACATCTGGCCTCGAACACAAGGGACAAGTGAATTATGAAGAATTTGTGCGAAGTGTAATGTCAGGATGAGAGAAATACGATGAATTTTGGCGATATTTTAGCGGGATGTTGTACGACTTTAGCATATGTTTACAAGCTTGTATAGTTCTAATTTAAACTACCAAACTGGCAAACACCAATATTAATAGCGTATTATTGACTCAAGGAGTTAAAGGTCTTTAGACTTTTACATTACACGACTGTTGTCATTTTATTCGCTAATTCGGTTATAAGTTTGCTTTAAAACTTTATTTTGAACCATGGTATCATGGCTTTAAATTTAGTAATCAACCATTGGAAGTGTTAACAAAATGTTTTGCAATTAAAATTGAAATTGTTTATCTTTGAGTGGCCATGATCATTGACCCGTTTAACATCAATCAAGTTGAAGATCAATATACAATTTATATTACCTTTGAAATAAACTGTTATATTCTAATTGAACGAGAAGGGTGTGGGAGGGGCGAAATGACCCATGGGCAGCCTAGTCCCAGGCCTTGTAAGCGCGCGTGTTAATTATGCAAGGCCAGCTGCCACCGCGCTGAGAGACCTAGCACAAAATGTTGAGAATTTCAAAAATTGTCCCTGATTTTCTCCCTGATGCAAATATTTTGAGATCAGTATTGACTAGAGAAAATTTTCTTGGCGCCATCTCCCGCGCGTTTAAACTGGTGATGGGTCCGAGCCTGAAACGCTACCACTCAATCTCGAAACCAGCTCTGGTGTCGAGATTGCCTACCACTATTAATCACAATATATAATTGATCTCGAGTTTTTGGTCATACAGCGCATAAATAAACTATTACACTTCGAATGCAAACAAGAGCCTTGTCTCATTATCAAGCCGTGTGAAGCGCTATTTTTTCCAAAATATGATTAGCCAATTCTGCCACTAATTATAATAGCTGACCCATGGCCGGTTGCAATATTAGAGGAAGAGGTTCCACTAACCTCGTTCCCAGGGTTCTATCTACGCTCCCCTTGTAAAAAGTTGTTATATTTTGAACTATAGTTAATCAGAATAGTGTATAATATTTACAACCGGTTCTCAGAATGAAAATAGACCTTTGAGGTGCTTACGTCATGTCGGTCTCGAACAATGAATCGCAATGCAATCTGGGAAACAAGTGGGACAAAATTGTATAGATAGAAAACTGTGTGACGTAAGCACTTCAGAAGGCTATTAGCAATTGTATACTGGGACGTCTCATAATCTTTTCCTAGAACGTTTTTTGTACGATATCTTCATGTTTAGTACAGTACCAAGAAGAGACTCGCATTGTAAGCCATCTTTTTCTCGGAAGGCAACATTGGCACTTGTCCAGCACAATCGAAAATGTTTCTAAGAACCAGAAACCGATGCTGACTGTTCTTGATACATGAGAAAACCGAAATAGATGTAATATAAATATACAGGCTTCCTAGCTATGAATTAGTGACAGACTTCCGGTTGTTTATATATGGAGAAAGCTTGAAGAGATTTTGTCATTTTTGTGACACTTGGAATGTATTTGTCTAGTCGCGTGACATGTTTATTCTGGGAAATGAACAATACCCCATTGTGGTGTAGTCACATGAGTTAGCCTGTCAGTCGTAATTTTCAAGAATAGGAAATAAAAATGAAATAAGAACAACAAAACGGTGTGCATGAGGTAGTTTGATTAAAACAAAATGAAAAGTATGAATAGAAGAGTGCAGAGCTGAAGTATGAACCAGCTTTGGTTGTATGAATTTTGAACTTTGAACTTTTCAGAGCGCGTGACCAACTCTTCTAGATATGAAACCGGAAATATCGATTCATAAAACAACAGTATATTTGAAGCATAATGTAAACGAAAGGTCCAACTTACAGATCGTTCAAGCTCTGTGTCTACAGTGGGTAATATTCTCAGTTGCAGTAAAATGCCATCAAGCACAAGCGGAGAACAATTGGTGAACTCGGTGCCAGAAGATAATACAGAGGGTGAAGACAAGCTCTTAAAACGTATTCGGAATTATTGCTGGCTCACTGGTCAATATTGGTCCGCATTCGGGGAAACTGCCCCGAACACTAAACCTAAACGATTTCTGTACGGGTTATGGAAAGTTATGATGGGCATTTTTGCTTTAATATATTTCGCGTACATGTCTGCCAATGTCGGCTCGAGTATAAATCTGGATCAACTAAGCGTGTTTTTTTTCTACTACCCAGTCTCGACTATCGAGAGCATTGTGTGGGAATTTCGTTGGCTGGTAACCTGCCTGATGGGCATTCTCGTTACTCCAAGCATTTGGAAAGAACTATTCGATAACAATAAAGGTAAATTGCACAATGCCATTAATATTAAATGGATAAAAAATAGCTGGCTCTCGTGGATTTTGCCCTGCGACCGCGTCGTTCTTGTTATGTGGTTGCTTTCTGAAATTGCAATTCTTCGCGAGATATCGTCTAATTTTGGAGATAGTATAACACCTTCCAAAGCATTGCGATTTTCCATAGACGCAATTTTGACGCTTGTTGACCGGATTATCGCTTTACCGCTGTTCTTCCTCCTTTGCATTACCATATATACACTTGGCTGCATGGTCGAAGAGTATTGTAATAAAATCATAGAGTGGGAAATAAAAAAATGCGATGGCGCATCCACGAGCAAAGGCGAAGAAACGAGTAATGCCCAGAAAGAAAGTGAAAATTCAGCGAGAGAAGAGTTTCGAAAAATCAAAGTTGCCATTCGTACGGCGGGACTAAAATTCGAGTTATTCCTGACGGTCCATTTCGTGCTACTGGTGTGCACCTTTTTTCTCGGAATCTGCTCTTGTTTCGAAGAATCAGAAGTGAAGATTCCAATGTCAAATTCCACTCGCACAGTTCTTTTGCCATTTCAGGTAAGTTTAATAGATTTCATCAAAATTTTGCGAAATGGCAGTTATTCATTGACGTAATAGGCAGCCCAGACTTATTATATATAATGACGAATGTACACATAGGTACACCACGTAAGTATTTGCTACCAATCTAAGCACAGTAAAGCTTGGTAGTTCACACTGGCGCATGCGCATAACGTAGAAGACCGTCCATGGCGCGAGGTCCATTGCATAATGGCGGACGACTTTGGTTTCGCATTTGCACATGCATTTGCATTCCGGGTGTAAATATCCGAGCGGAATTCGTACCCTCGCCCGGTGCTCGGCACCGGCTCGGGGATTATCAATTAACAACAATAAAATATGGCGTCATGATTATCCACAACATTTTTTTGCGTAATACTGTAATGTGTGATTGGTCGCCGCAAAAAAGGTGGATCGATCCCTAGTGGGCTTAAGGAGGCCAATCCTGAACAAGATTGATGGCAAGTTGGGCCATGGAAATATTTTTAAAACCATTATCACGGTCCATTTTGACATGAGTTTTACATGCTATGGATAATTTAGTTTTCGCAAAGTTTTCTCAATTGTTTAAACGGTGCTTTTATAGTTTTCTTTGGGTAACAATTAACGTGATCATCTATTTAGATTCCACAAAGCGCGAGGTTCGTCGACCTTGGTATAAATGTTTCACATCGCTGTATCTACACTACTACAGACAAGATATACGACATTGGAAAACCGATTACCCAATCAAAGAGCTTGACAAGAGCTGAAAAAAACACCAACACAGGATTAAGGAACGCCGCAAACATAGGAAAGCATGCCACCAATGGAGCGAATAACAGTCTGAGCTTGGAAGATGAGTTCGAGGAGTTGAGATACGAATTAATAAAACGAAGTGTGGCAAGTGCTTGGATATTGATGGCAGTAAGAACAATTGAATCATTTGTGCTCTATATTTTACCCCTAGCCCTAATGGCCCGGCTTCAAAATCGTTTGCGACGCATCTACGAGGTGATTGAAGATTGCAATTTGAAGGAACAAAAAGATAACGGGTACCTTTTCGACAACGTTGAGGTCATAAGGCGCATGTGCAAATACGTGAAGACTGCGCATGGCTTTCGGATCTACGGATACACCCTGCCAACGTTTGAGACGTTTTTCCTGGCAGCTTTCATGCCGTTTATTACAGCGACTATCCAGTTGTTGCTCTGTCATATTCACATGAAAGAGGGATAATTATAGATCGGAATCGAGGTTTTTGTAATAATTATCATTGTAATTCCATATAGCACAGTCAGGAAAGCATATGTTGCGTCATACGATAATTTAACGTTAGGGATTAGGGATAATTTAACGATAGGGATTATGTGAACATCAAAGACGATGTGGAAATGGCGAATATATGGCGTGGCATGTCGATATATAGACGTATCACGCCATTTTTATGTCGTATTGGTCGTTCACGTGCTCATGCTAAATCTCCTTATTATATGTTCAGTGAAGTTTTAAGCCTCTTACAGACGAGCAAGTTTTCTAGGGTAGTGTCACAGCTCTTCGCAAGAATGACTCTCATTGGCTGAACTTTACAATACATTTCTGTTTCAACCAATAGCATAGTTTTGTTCTTTAAAAAGCATAGAAAAGCATTATCCAATTGGACGAAGGCTTCCGAGCACTGCGACATGTCCCAGTTTTTATATGACAAGTTTTAATTGGCAATTGCAAGTGTGTATGTACAACAAATTTTCTATGACAGGTTTTTCTTTGACAAGTTTTATTTGCACGTGTGAACGTGCCAACAAGTTTACTTTGACAATTTAGTTTGCAGCCAGCGATGTAATCGTACAGCGGACAACGTGAACGCGCCATTGCAATACACAGTCCGCTGGCCAACTGCATACAAGTGCTCACATTATGTGACAAGTTTTCTTTGTTGACTCATACAGACGCTTGTTCACTTGTCATAGAAAAAATTGTCAAAGTTGGGCGTACAGACGAACAATCAAAACTTGTCACATAAAAACTTGTCGTAGAAAACTTGCTCGTCTGTGAGACGCTTTAGAGTTTTTGAGTGTGTTGGCTACTGATAAAGCACATGTTTTAATGGGATTTCCAATATTTGTACATATTTAAGGTTAGTTGTAAATTTAAGGTTGGTTATAACAAAACCATGGTGTCCCACGTTCTGAGTTGAACACACCAGGCTAAAGGGTCAGAAATGGGAGGCTGGCCTCAAACTGATAAAACGATATTTTTAAACTAATTTTGAACCGCACTTAAATTGTGCATTGAAAAATGATTTTATAATATTTTTCGAAGTGATTAAATTATATCAAGCTTAGCTAAATTTTTTAAAACATAGAAATACAATAAATTCAAATATAGCTCGGGTAATACTTTTACGGAATATGCTGGGAATATGCAGTCATCGCTCGAACCTGTGAGCAATCTCGTTGGGTAGTGTCGCAGCTCCTCACAAAAATGATTTTCATTGGCTGAACTTTACATGCAATACGTTCTTTAGAAAGCATAGAAAAGCATTATCCAATTGGACGAAAGCTTCCGAGCACTGCGACATGTCCAATCTCGTTCCCCGAGCCCACCACGGATTAAATTTTACAGAAGTCGTACTAAGTTATAAAATGGAAATGGACACAAAACACGGCGGAAAATCACGCAAGGAAAGCAAGCAGTAAACCACTCAGTAATTCACCCTGGCACAGGCTATTCGCTCAGTAATCAGCACAAAATATCTATCTAGCGCAATTCTATTTCGACAAAAGATCGATCGCAATTTTATTTCGACAAAAGATCGATTGCTAGTTTTTTAAATCGAACATTTACTCGCGTAAACGGAAAAAGTCCTTCGAATTGAGAAAATACGATTGAGGAAATTATTATTTTAGCCTACTCCATAATTTATTTCATAATTTTCAGTTTACCACGAAGTTTACTATCTAACCCGTTACGTTACTAACCACAGTGGCAGATTACGTCGCGATCAATTGGAGTTTCTGGCCATGATTCTCTGTGATTACGCACGCATAATATATCAAGTGTTCAAATCCGCATTGCAATCACAAGGAAAATCAAATCTGAACACCGCACAAAAAGAAACCCTCTGAATGTAATGTCTTTGCACACAGTTGAATGATTGAATACGATTGGAATGAAAACTCGGGAGGGGGGGGGAATGTTTTGCTATGACCTTTATGCTGGCATGTTAGAGCAGACCGAGTAGTTAACTCGATATCCAGTACACATAGAGTTCACAATGTAGGGAAAGTTATTTGAGCCTGCGATACCATGATGTGACGTAGATACTTCAAGTTATCTTGTCATCGTCTCCAACATGGCCGTTCCATGTGCAAATGAATTACAGAGCTTCTCAAGAAAGGAAATCCTACTTATACATTTAGGCTAGGGTGATTTTGTGCGGCGTTTATACGGCAACAGTTATCGCATCAATTTTACGATTTCTTGGGAATAAAAATAGGTTTAACGCTTTCGGGTTTATGCTTCGCATAAGGCGAAGCGGGTGTACCGACGATTAGCACGTGATTCCCTTTGAGCCATAATCTCCACATGCTTTTGTGAAATCCTCGCACATCGAGATCCCAAATGTGAAGGCATCTGGCTATGTTATTCCATGTCGTCCAATCGCTCGCATGTTTCATTTCAATATAGAATACGTACGTCTTACCGCTTGTATCGGGAATGAAATCCTTTTCGTTCGTGCAAGGATTCTTGCTGTGATCCAAAGGTTCAGCGATGCTGTGATGAAAATGGTAATGATTTATGTTCAGTAAATCCCAAATAAGCTACCACGCTTTGGAACCAATCTGCAACTTGACTTCGGTAATAAGCTCTTGGGAAGTTTGCATGGCGATATATAGGCTAATTTTAGACGTTTGTTTGTGGAAAAACCACGTGAATAAAGTTTGGCAGACCTCATCAGATTCAAAATTTGAGTGTTTTGCCCTGATGATGATGGTCCGGGCTTACGGATTGAAAGATCTGCAAAACTAAATTCACGTGGTGTTTCCACAGACAAACGTCAAAAACCTCGCGTTTTTTGCACGTACGTATATGCAAGTAAAAGCTTAAAACTTTCTAAGTTGCTATATAACTAACTTTATGCCCGAAAAAAACACACCAAATCCGATCCACAGAATCCAGCCCTATGCATTTAATTGTTGATTTCATAAGTATCATTTAAATCATTTTAAATTTTTACGTGCGTGTACGTAAGTACAAAAAACGCGACAGTGGAAAACAGCCCTAAAGCCACTTCTACTCACCCCATCAAACGCTCAATTTCCTTCTCGTAATTATCTTTTTTCATCTGTTCAACGTTAAACTTCACATTTGCCTCTGTGTTCAAAGTGTGTTTCTTGAAATAGGATTCTTGGAAAAACGCGTTCATGTTGAGACCCTTGGCGCCAAAATGATACGTCCTGGAAATATCGGGGATGATGCATTCGCGGCCTTTTTTGTTCGTTTCCATTCTCATCCACATATCCCAGTCCCAGAAAAGATCAGGGGTCGGCCATTTTGGCTCGAGTTCTTCCTTGTACAAACGGCGTTTGAGTAACCTTTAAAAGATGTGAGGCTAGGAATTATGTTTTCTTTCGATCGAATGTAAAACTAGTGGGCTTAGTTAGGCTATAGCTACCTAAAAACAAAAACTTTCCTGAAATGAATTTCGCAAAACGAGTAAGTTGTCGTTATATTTACAGGCATTAGCTATCTAACCAAACTAAACTATCGTATGGATTAAATGATGATGGTAGTATCTCCTACTGACCGGCCCAATTCTGCTACAGCAGGAAACCTAAACTAAGTAAATTTTCTTTACATTAATGGATAATTGTTTCAGTTCGAAAGTGTTTATCCTAGAGATCCAACGAGGATTGTTGATTACTGGTCTACATACCGTCTAGTGTCATTATAAATCTAAACTAGCATTATTTATACTGCGTTGTTAACTCTGATCTTTTGTCAATCTTTTTTTCCTAGAGGCCCTGTAAGAATATAACTTCTTATTGAAAGTGTGAGGAATTTTACTAATATATAATCTTGATCAAAGTTGTAGACGAATAGAAAACACCGAGGTATACGGGTAACCATTAACTCACCATCCCAAACCAGGCATTGTTTCAATTCTGTACAACATCGAAGGATCGTTGCATGAATGATCGTAGCCCTAAAATAAAATATGTTGAACATATATTGCGTTTAAATCGACATAATAGTTGAGACGTTTACGGCAAATGCCAAACTGCTGATAAATTCGCGTTTTAACTCTACTGTCTTGAAGTGTGCAGCAATTTGGCTAAATTCCAAACGTTCTACATAAAACTCGTGATGTAAGAAAGCAATAGACTATTTCAGATGTATTTAGCAAAGCAGTAAATTCAGCTTTGCCGTATGTGTTTCACGTTCGCCGTATAAATTTAATGCTCATGAACAGCTGTGGGCGTATATGCAATCGTTCAAACATGAAACACGTTTTCACAACAGCACACCGATCAAGTCATCAAAATATGGTTCTTCAGCTTTCATCCGGGGTAAAGGCATGATAAAATGGTCAAAAAACTATAGCCCTAATCTACCTGATCATTCCAAGCTGAAACACAATATAAACTCTCATCTTGATCCATCAGAGGTAAGAGTTGACTGAAGTAGCTAAATATGTCCACAGAAACGTCCAAATCTTCTTCAAGTATTATCATATACTGCGCATCAGGATACGCGTTGAATGTCTCGGTTAAAGTACGCTTGTAGTGCTATATATGATGAAGTGAGAGAGAGTTTAAAGTTAGTTTTAAATTAGCCATTTCGCAATCGAACGGGGTATTGGGGTATATACAGGAACCGCAAAGTATGCTTTCAGTAGTAAAAGGCAGGGCAAATTTTGCATAAATTGCGTTTCCTGTCCCTGCAAATAATCCATAGATAATCTGGTTTTTAAATTAGACCCATGTTCGATTGGAAAAGACTAATAGTTAATTTACTGTTTTAGGAATTCTAATTGGTTTAGCCCGAAAAATGTGAACAAACCTCCCGTTTAGTGTAAAACAAAATTCCTCCTTCTTTATGTATAGTTCTTTCTGGTTTAGATAGTGGTAGCAAGTTACCTCTACCACCACATCATGCAAAGGTCGAAGACACGGTGATGTGAATACCCTCATATTTGTCATTGCGAGAAAGAAAAAGTCGAATTCTTGCGAAGCTACAAACCTGCGAGATTCTTGCGTTTTTGCTGCTGATGGGAACGTGTTGTACAACTTTGAGATCGAATAGTTTCGCTACTGCGGCTGGCTCTTCAAAGAAGCCGTCGACGAACACCGTAAATAGTTCTTTTTTGGCCCCGTGAGCCGACAGCATTGAGCGAATTGCTCTGTAGAGGTAGTGCGGTCTGTTACTGGCAACGATTGCTACGGGTATTCTTGAAATCGTGCTTTTGTCAATGTCTGCACTCAAGATGTCGATTGGAGCTGGATTGGAACCTATAGTTAAAGTATAGTATATAGTTATATATATACTCCAGGATAAGTTTGCTAGTATGGTGCATGAATTTTGACTTTGATTTTCGCAGGTAGAGTTACTATCCAGTGTATTATCAGATCAGTGTATGCATTCAGTCAATGACGAGTAAAAAATCATTTAGAACTTACAGCTACAAACACTGCCATATCCTTCAAATCGTTCGCAAAACTTCCGTCTTCTTTTGGACACCTCGCTTTCGTCCCATTTGCACTGGGATTGCTCGACCGGCACCAGATCTACCGTGGCTCTGGCAGTAACTGGATTGCCCCAGTGCGCGACGTCATTCGCGTGATGATAATTCTCTGCATACTTCTTGCCACGTTTTGTCACGATAAACGCCCAGCTGTCGCGCCATTTCAGACCGTCGATATTCACACTGCCAAGGCTTCTGATTATGTTCCGCGCTGGTTTCTTTAAGTTGTACGATGCCTCGTCCTACATAAGTAAACGCAAGCCTTATAGTACCCTATGGTATACCATAGTATCCCATAGTATCCTATCATAGTAAGCCCGTTTCATTCTAGCCCTAAAGAGAGCAAAATATCAAATCTCGGAAAAATCAAACCGTGCAGTATTGAATTTTAAAAAAACACTTCAGTTTTGACACAATATAGATTTACATTTTCTATTTTGCCAACCAAAAACTGTGAAAAACAGAAGTGAACAATACAATCGGTTTGTTCTGGAAGTTATTTGTACATAAATTAAGTTAATGTAGTCCCAGATTACAAATTATGGAATTAATTAGTAAAAATACTGTATGACGTCATAGGGAGTCGAATGTTTTCATATTCACGGTATTATTTACATTAATCGGCAAAAAGGCTTTTCTAAATAAATCTATTCATTGTAACAAATTGTTACAACAAAAACTGTTAGAAAAGCTATTTTGAGAGATAAATATTAGTGAAGAGTCTTCGAAGTATTTGTATAAAAAAACATCCGTAGAGTGTAATTTTCACTCTGTGAACAACAATAGGCAGCCGTTATAGTTACGATGATTTCAATGAAATTAGAATTGAAAATAGCAAATTATGGAGGGCAAAATGAAAAGCATCTAAAAAGATTTATAAAAATTGATTCATGGAAAAACCCAGAAAATAAAATAGCTTAGATTATAAAGAAGAGTTATAATACTTGAAATGGTTCAAACTTTATGTCAGCAGCAAGAGCTTTTTTTCAATTTAACCCCTTTTAGACTGACGTCTGATGGGATGGATGAGTCTGACGAGATCAAATAACGCGCTCATTAGCGTGCACAAATATGGTTTCCAAACGTTCGACCAGCTGTAAATCTTTTCATGTAATTAAACAATATCACAATGAAAACAAACAACATACAAACGAGCTATATACGGCTATATAACTGGAGAAACCCCACCCAGCCCTTAAGTAATTCTTAAGAATTATGTAAATCATATGTAAACGAATAAATAAATATCGTTCTACAACCTTGCAGTATTGAGCACTCTTTTACTTCATACGAATAATTTCTTAATAATTTTTAATATATGTTACAGGTTAATAAATATATCAACATTCAAAAAGTAAAAAAACATATCGTTGAAATAAGAATTTTATGAAAATGGTGTTATCATAGGTGTGCTCGAATTTTGATATTAAACGCAGTGCTCTCTCTCTTCACGCGCCAACTCTTGTAATTCTATATCTGTCGGGTCTTCCTCGTCAAACACCATATCGCCACCAGGTTCTGCGAACAGATCTCTATCTCCGTAGAAAATCTTCTCCCAATAGAAGGCGAGCAAACGTGCATGAAACGCCAAATTGAAGCCAATTATTATCACCATCAGCCCCCAATAGGGGCTGTACGAGTGGGAATAATTCTTCTGAAGAAACGGTTCGAAACTTTGGGCCACGTTCAGCATAATGGCTGCATTCTTGCAAACCAATTCAAAAAAATACACCAAAATCGCACACCAGTAGACGAAAAAATCGCAATTTTTACAGCATTTTTTGCATCTTCCACCGTTTGTTTTCTGCCATCGTACACGGGGTACATAATTGATAATACAGATTATGAGGGCGTTAACTGGACTCCAAAGGAACATCATGGTTGACATGAACTTGCTGGTTTCATCTTCCTTTGAGGGAATCAACCGAACGAAGTAATATATGAGTGACGCTGCGAGTAAAAACATCAATGAACCAAACGATCCCTTTTTGTAGATCATTCTGAACCCCTTCCGTTGGAAGTTGCACGTCTGGGAATCCGTGTAGACGATGGAAATGAGAAGACCGGGAGATATGATTGACATCACGTACCAAGCTGAGATCCATTGTCTGGGATGCGGCACGAAGAAAGGCTGGGAACAATTGGTAATAGAGGCTCGCTCATATAAATTGCACCATGCGTCAAAAATGGAGTAGAAAACAGTCGAAATCACATGAGGTATGCAAAGCAGGATGAAGATGACCTAAAATGAAAAAATATGAAACAAATAAATGAGATGAGAAAAGCTATATAGCAACAATTTATTACATATACTCCATGCATGGCGAGAAACCAGATATTTGCTCAGGGCCGTAGCTATAGAAGCTTAATTGGAGGGGGTCTTGACTGATTTCTTTTCTACGGTATTGTTCGTCAACCTCGTACACAGGGTCTGTTTTCAGGCTCTGGTTTGTAATCATACACCCCTCCCCCTAATTAAGCGATCTAGCTAAAGTCTTCGATTTGCTGTTGTAAACACAGAGTCGATGGCGTCCAAAACAACTAAAGGTCATTTCCATAATGACCCTAAGCCCATCAAAAGAAAACCACTGTCGTTTTATTATACTGGAGACGAATAATTCGTCTAGACGAAATTGCGCGCATGCATTCAATACGTCTATTCAATGCTTCTAATTTCAGCAGCAGCGGTCATCTTTAAAAATCTGGCGCATTTGCATTCGAAGCCTCTGCGGAGGAGAGAGGATTGAAGACGTATTATCCGTATGGCGTTTGGATGAATGTAACTCGGAGTTCGTCTGAACTATTAATTCATCCAAATATACCGTTTATAACCAAACGAATTTATACCAGGCGAATTAACCAAGTTCGTCCCGACGAATTATTCGTCTCTGGTATACTAGTACTAAAACTAGTGTGATGTTATTTGGCCTCAAATGTGCAGTTATCTGGTTATCTACCTACTCTGTTATCAAATGAAACCTTTGACTTTACCCTAAGGGTCTGCATGTGTATATGGGGTCGAATTGCAAAGTGAGAAAACTTCGTGTGACAAAACCACTCGACAAAATTAGGGTCGGTTTACGTAAAGCCCGGGCCAGACGAGTCAAACAAAGCGTGCAATGACTAGTATTAAAATAAGTATACAACATGATCAAGATACAATCATACAACATAGTCATAGAAGGTGGATAAATTAGATGGATATATTAAAATGATTATAAGACATGATCCCGCGGGCATGAATAACTCAGTGAAAAGTGTTTACGAAGATTTCAATATTTACCTTTAAGAATCTGTTGAAGCCCTCAGAACAAAGAAAATCAGTGATGGCTTGAAATATTATCTGTCGTTTATTTAATACTTGAACTGTTGTTTCCTTCTTCTCCTCATATTGTTCAGCAAGACTTGCCCGATCTTGTGCTGAATTACGTTGTTCCTGTTCGTGAGCTCCCTCCATACATGAAAGATTTTTTCCTCTATGAGCACGATAGGCCGAAATGTTTCAGTTGAACTCATGTGAACTCTATATATAGTCTATGCGAATAGGAGACGTGCAAAGCATAAATTAGCATATATAAAATCACCGGAAATTAAATAAAACACTGAAAATCGACGTCACAGGTTCTTGACGTTAACACGTTTAATGTACAGCCAATGACGTCGGCTACGGGCGGTTGTATCACGACCTCGTCAACACACGTATCTGGTTTCGTTTGTATCCCCGAACATTTAGTTGCAGGTACGTTTAGCATCCACACGTATCCTGTATCCAAAACTTTAAAAAGAGTTCTCCAGAGTGGAAACTTTTTTTTTAGAAGCGCAACGAATCTGGGTACGTGCGGACTGTGGACGCACTGTAACCGCAACCATTTGAAAACGATGACGCAAATCGATGAAATTTTATTTGCGTCTGGCACTCAAAGGCTCACACTGATTATGCGCCGATCAAAACTGCAGTAAACTCATTAGTCTTTCATTAAATCAAATAACGCAATTCTGTCACGTTGACTATGAAAGAAAGCGTGCCATACTGCCGCTTTTAAACAGGTTCTTGCAATGCCAGTATCAAGGTATATAGGATCAAAACACCTGAATCAACCCGGTAAATCTACCGCTGAAGAGTTAAAAATAGTTTAATCGAACCACGTTAATAGTTATTATTATGCATTACTAATGCAATCTCGGTTGCGATTGGCTAAAAACCTACAGATAATTCTCAATGTCTTGCCACATACACGACATTGAAAATTATCCGTAGGTGACGTAATTTTTTGCCGCTATAGTTTGTTGTCAATAATGGAGCAGGCTTCTTCTCTAAAAAGGAAATACATAATAAAACAATTCTTGAATTCGGTTTTCGCATGATATCGAGAATTATCAAGCCTTAGTTTGGGTTGAAATAAGCGCCGCTGTAGAATAAACGCCGCACTTGAATAAACGCCGCACTTGAATAAACGCCGCCGCGTCTTTAACTCGGAATTTGTAATAAGCGCCGCGGCGTTTAATCGATCATTTACGGCAATCAGTAATGCACTAGGATCGGTATTGTACTGGTTCAAAAACCCCGCCATCCTTTCGTCTCGTTTCATTCCAATTTTCCGTTCGACCATTTTCGCAACTTTTTTGATACAGCATGTTTAAAGTAGCTTCGATTTAGATAAAAAAGACATGTAGGGATATAATCTATATAGCTACATGTGGCGTAGCCTACATACAAACGCTTCTGATATAATCTATATTGAAAATTTGCTTACAAAGCTATGATCCCATAATTGCATCTTAAAACTAAGTTTAAAAAAAGCTAAATCAGGGTCTTTGTCAGAAAATATTATAATATTTTTACAATATATATTTATCTATTAAATTAAATACATCAAGTTTGAAAAAGTCAAAATGCAATATCGTTTAAGTCAAACTGTTATCATGCACAGATTTTAATACTGATCAAACGCGCTGTTCGTTATATTCATGCCATCACTTCCATTTCCATATCTTTGGAGCTTTCTTTGCGATTATTTTCCTGTTCAAGCGAATCTTCCTCGTCAAACACCATATCGCCACCAGGTTCTGCGAACAGATCTCTATTTCCGTAGAAAATCTTCTCCCAGTAGAAGGTGAGCAAACGTGCATGAAACGCCAAATTGAAGCCAATTATTATCACCATCAGCCCCCAATAGGGGCTGTACGAGTGGGAATAATTCTTCTGGAGAAACGGTTGGAAACTTTGGGCCACGTTGAGCAT